ATATGTGGACAAATAAGTTCAAGCTGACTTGCTGTCAACTTTTTGTCCATCTTCCTAAAAAGTGAAATGCCATAGCTGTGTATTATGTCCTTAAAACTGGCAATTAACCATGTTGTAAGTTAAGCTGCTTTGTTAAAACTAATTATTAGTTGAATATAGGTTTTCCCAGCCAATTTCCTAACATGTTCATTCACTTCAGAAAATCGGTCATTTTCGTCTGAATTTGAGAATTTGAGAAACATGCGTTTGATTTTCGCTACCAGAGCATTCGATTCCATTTCAGTTCAATCAATTATGTGATTGAGCATTACCTTTCGTTTATGTCCATTCAGATTCGTTTACAAGACTTCTTTTTTACTTTTAGGTAATTTTAAACATTCACCATTCTATTTCACTTTCAGTTTAATGCCATCTGCACTAGATACAATTAGGGGTTTCTTTTTCATTAACCGTCAATCAAATTAGCTATACCTGAAATCAATTTGGAAAAGGTATGCTTGCGTATTTATGCACAGGTAACGTAATTGGCCGTCTGTTTCTCAAAACCGAATGCACGGGCAATGAAAACGATTGATCTTTCGGTGAATTGAAATGGAATTAGAGACTTGCGTTTAAATTCAGACGAAAATGAAGTGAATGAACATTTCAGGAAATTGGCAGGGAAAACATATATTTGCCACCTTTTGCCACTGATATATGATGTATGTAGTCTGTGTCTCTTTCAAGCTAGCAATCACATGTGAGTTGCATTTTCAATTTGATTCATATGATGTAAAACAAATTGAATTTGTTTTCTTAGTGGTATGGGAGATAAAATAGAGAATTCTTCTTTTTTTTTAACTAGAGTGCAAGAATGTCCAGATGCCCCAACCTTTCTTTTTTTTTAGAGGTTTCCCAAATTGTGTCATTTTGACTCCACTCCCAATTTTAGAAATCTATTTTTTCTCTTGTTTTGATATTTTTGTTTTGTTTCAGAAGTTCTGTTGCCATCTAACCTAAGTCAATCTTTCAGTCTTCCACTTGATTGCCAAGTACAAAATAGTTGGTGTGAATGGTGCAAAATTACATGCACGTGAAAGGGAATGTTCTATTTTTGTGAAGGTTTTTTTCCCTCACACTTCTTTGTCAAGCAAGCGATATTTTTTTACAGAAATGGTGGCTTTGTTGATTTTTTTGTCTCCAAATGGAGTATAAATGATGGCTGGAGTGATAACATTATTTAACAAAAAAAAATCTCTGCAGAACCTCCTTGAGGGGATTTTCTGTTAAGAATGGAAGACGGGTTGTGATTTTAAAGGAGGAAATTTGCAGACAACATCTGCGAGGCAACATGTACGCGTACTTGTTCAGTAGTTGTGGGGGCCACATGAGCGAGAGTTATTGTGGGGGCCAAAGACGCTGTGGGAACTAGTAGAGAGTCCCCACAACTCAGTCCTAATATCCCAAACAATAAACAAGAACTTCCCCACAATTCAGTCACTGCTAGTGCAAAATATTATTTGAATTTGTGGTACAACTGCACAGATATACAGTCGACTCTCGTTTGTACAAACTCTGTTAATACTAAATTCTGGTTATAACAAACATAAAGCCTTGGTCCCGACTGTGCATTTATGTGCACAATGAATGGGACTGATGTTCCTCTTAATACAAAATTCTGATATAACAAACAATTTGGCTAGGTCTGAACGAGTTTGTTATAATGAGACTCGACTGTACAAATCTGTTTTGCAAAAAATACAAATAAATAAACAAATCTGCCTCATGGAAGCATGATCCTGGCAGACACCAATGAACCTGAAGTAGAGCACTTATTCTGATGTTCAAAATTCCAACCAAAAAATTGACTGCACTATGTGTTTTACAGTATTTTTTAACATGTGTAAAATCTTTTTGATTGTATGAAAAGTTGCATAATGCGAAATTGGTTGCAAAGTCTTGCCCATTCCCCCCACTGTCAATTCGTGTACATTTCTGCATCAGATGTTCATGTGTGCATGCACCGTTGAAACACTTTTAAAAAGAGTGGCCGACTCCAAAAGTGCGGTGTTTATGAAATTCCATCCTCCTTATCCCTTATTGAAAAAAAAATAACAGAAAATCTCTTTCAGGAGTGTTTTACTGAAAGCAAAGAGGACCAAATTGGTGCTGTGCTAGAACGATTTTTGTTTTATATTTAATTAGCAAAAAAAAAAAAAACACCAGTTCTTTCAGGTTTCAACCACTTTGAATCAGCTGACTTGAGTCATCTGGCACAGTCTTTGAATGTACAATATTTTAGCAGGAAAAAAAAATTGAAATATCTGACTTTATATTCAGGAACAAAAGTGTATATAAAAACAAAGTTTATGTATACATGTATATAATTGAGTTTCTATAAAATGGTTTGAATTTAATTTATTTAAAAAAACAACATTTTGTATTCACGTTAAAGGCTTATTACCTTAGTGTATGAGAGGCCAACAAACGATATATATTTGTTAGCGTCCTTGATCCTTAGCAGATTATTGTCAGTGTTGTCAAGTTTGTTGGTTCCTTAGAAAAAGTGCTGCAGTTTTAAAATATAGCAGCGTGCAGAGGCTGAAATATGGTGTGTATTTTTTTTTAATCTGCTGGTCAGTAGTAAACGGAGCAGATTATTACATGTGACACCAGTGTTCATGAATCAATTCATGAATGCACGTTGATTTCAATTACCTGGGCACTTTTTCCCAAGAATCCCACAGAATCTCCCAAATTGTCTACCATGTGCATGAAAGAACAAACAGCAATCTTGGCAAGTGATTTCTCTCCGATCCTGCCTTGCAGAAGAGTGTTTTCTAACTTGATAGGATAAAAGGATCAGATAGGAGATCCAATTTTCTTACAGGATTAATGAACTTATTAAAATGTATGCAATCACTGTGAATGTTTTAGTAACGCCCAAACTATAGCATAGTATAATAATAATGTGCTTATAAAGCACAGAGGAGTCATCAGAGGTACCCGTATCATCGCCATTAACTTTTTTTCTTTTTATTAATTTCCTTTCTGCATTGGGGGAGACGTCGTCATCGTTTCAATGGACACCCATAACTATTAAACTAGCTTATAAAGCGCTTTATACCAACGCTTTACAACTACATGTTTTACCCCTGATCATCAGGTAATGAGAACATGTTTTGCAGCAGCTTCAGATCAGCACATTCTAGTCTCTACCTTCACAGGTGCCCATGTTACACCTACGTGGAGAGAGGCAATTGTAGTAAAGCGTCTTGCCCAAGAACACAAGCACCATGTTGCCCGTCAGGGTTCGAACCCACGTACCACAGCACGCGAGTTGAACACCGTAACCAGCGCTCCGCAGGACTTCCTAAGTTTCATGATTATAGTGGGGACTGTCCCAGACTATAGTTGTGGCCATGCAATGCTATAGTTTGGGTGTATAACTACAAGATGTGTAGAACTAAATAACAGGAGGCCAGTCATAATGTTTAATGGATGTAAGATTGGCATTGTTCCTGACCAGAATGAATCAATTGAACTAGCATTCACAGTTCTTTACATTGCCTTTTTTTTCTTAATCTGAATATCAAAGGGAAGGCATTTATTGAGACTTAAAAGCCCAAAAGCTGCATAAAACTTGTCATAGCAATATTTTTTGGTCTGTGTTTTTTTGCTGATGCCCCTTAGCTTAGTCCTGGTTTGTCTCTTCCCAAATGGATTGCTGAGCAGTTCTTGTTCAAGTATTTTTATGAAGTTAAATTTGTGTCGAGTTTCCTGATAAACCGCACGAACTTGTAAATTATGACCATCTGCACAGCACAGGTTGTTTTTTGTATTGCCCAATAGCAACCTTTGTTATATAAAAAGCGTTTTGTAATAGCCAATGAGCTGCTGGATAGCTAAAGATATGGGCAGCCAATGCAGGGACTGCAACATAAAACCACTTCCTCCAATGTAAACAGTTGCTTGTATCAAAAGCATTATTGTACAATATATTACTATAGTTTAAATGTAATATATATCATTCCTATATACGACATCATTGCCAGTATTACAAAACGTAGTTATATCCTGTTCAGACTGTAATCTATGATGTTTATTTTCTGTGACTTTTTGCTTTTCACTTATTTTCCCTATTGAGGGTGTAATTGCCAACCAAACTTGTATATTTGCAGCCTTTTTAAAAACAAATCATTTTATTTGCTTTGGGATTATTTTTAAGAGGAAAAACATATTTGTATTCATACGGTTGAGGCGTACGAAACACTTGTAACATTTTTAATGCTGATTTGTGAATAAACATTGTGAATTAAAAGTTCTACTACGAGAGTATTTCATTTGAACATCATTTTTAGAGTTTCATCTCTCTCCCTTAAGACCTTTTTACACATACTCGACCTTGTCACACATTTTTGTAAAAAGGCACATGTACATGAGCGATGTCGCATGAAGTTCTCTCAAAAATGTGAATGCACTAATTGATTGTGTGTCCAGTTGCTCAAGACTAAATAAACATCTTTCGTAAGTGTACACTTTTTTTGAAAGCTCAATTTTGTGCTTTTTCATTTGAAAATAAGCAAGATCAGGCTAGGGTCACGCATATATAATTTCAGGTACATTCAAAGAGTAAAAATGTCTGTCTAAATCATTTCTGTAATATTGAATGTCTTCTTTCATTTCGGCATTGGGATAAACACAACTTTGCTAAATAAGCTGTCAAAAGTTAGCCCCAGTACCATTCAACAAGTCCCCCATGCAGGCTTCTGCTCTGGTTCTCACTGCCCGCACTGCATTTCGGGTCGTGCCCCTCTGCTGCCGTAGCACTGCATTTTCCGTGACAATTCTCTCACGCAGGTCATTAATGTCTTGAAGTAGAGATGTCAACCTTGTCTTTTAAATAAGGGTCAGGATTTTTTTTTCAGGACACACTGTATTTATAAAACACACGACTCACACAGTGAACTTTAGTATTAACAAAAAATGGAAAGAACAGTAACCAGTCACAAAAGATGAAATTCTTTGTCCAAAATTCTATACCTACCGGTATTTCTTTATTGCACATGTATACTTTTAGTTATTCGAAACAGTGAATTAACTCCATTTGTGCAAATTAAATTACCAATAAATATGCATATATTGATATCAGATACAATTATATTGACAAGTATTTTGCACACTGTATTAACCCAATAGCAGCATTACACTGTGTTTATTCAACACCTTAAATACGTTGTGGATACGAAGATGTACCTTCCTACTGGACAAGTAAACTCGCCATACTTTTACATGTACATGAAAGCCGTCCAGGTATATGTAAACACAAGATATGATCAACATTTCATAAAAACAATTGTATACCAGATGCACTATGTGCTTGTACACTTATAGATGGACTGAACATGTTATTATACAAATATTGATTGGCTCAGAGTGAAATGGGAGGAATATTATCGCAAGGTAAAATCTGGACTTTTACATTTCACGAGGCGAAGCCGAGTGAAATGGAAAAAGTCCAGATTTTATTGAAAAGGTAATGCATAAATTCTACAAACAACCCTCAGATATTGATGTTTTAAATTGCAAAAGAAATACATATTTGGTATCCAAAATATTTTTCAAATTTTATTGAATAAAGTATCTACAATTATTACAATACAGTAAATTCCAGAAAAGTTCTATGTGATATTATGTAGAAAAATCAACCATGCACATGACTGACAGTAAGTTATAGTATTCCTCTACTGGATATTATTTTCTAACTAGCAATGACAATTTTGGGAACTGCCAATGCAGGGCTGAAAGGTTTGAGATGGTACAAGTGCAAGAACAGTATCTTTGCAGTGTGCAAGTTCAAAGAACGCTCAGTATCTTTTTTGCAAACCTAATATCATTTCTGCTTAAAAAAGGAATGCAGTGTCCCTGAGGCGGCTTTGGTTTTGGGTTTCTTAGACCCTTCTGAGGATCTCGGGGACTTGCTTCTCCTCTTGACACCCCCAGCCCCTCCTTTTCCTGGCCCAGAGGGATTTTGTCCCAAGGTATTGTGGGTCGGACTACGCTGGCTGCTTGCAGCGCTGGCGGTTGCCACCCGCATTTCAGCCTGCAACTCCACGGCAAAGTGGTAATCAAGATGTTCCGGGTAGTCCCAGGGGGATACTGATTTGTTGCACTTGTCGCACACGATCATGTCAGAGGTCAAGCTGGTGTCAGAGGTGGGATTGAGAGAAGCTTTCGGTTGTTGCACTGATGGATTGCACATTAGTGACGGGCCCTGTTCGGCCATCACTGCTTGAGATGCACTACACTCGCTCATGCACAAAGGTTCAATTTTCTCCAGTGTTTGGTTCTCCATCAGCCCCTTCCCGTTTTCGGCAGCTGAACTCGTTCCACTGTGAAGTTTTGAATTGGTGTTGGTCGCACCGCCAAAACAACTGCCTTCCAAACCCACATTTTCCCTGTCGAAAACCTCGTTGTTTTCCCCACTGGTTCTGTTGACACCATGTGTTCTATAATCACCTTCTGTACCTTCTCTCACTGTCTGGGTATAGTTCCTGAAGAAAGGTTCCCTGTTCTTCTTGACATATCCCTTTTTTGGTCCTCTCCTGGGTGATTCTAACCGGGGCGTTCCATCACCGGTGTCCTTACAGTGCCCTTTGTCTTCAGCAACAGGACTACTGCTGTTGTTGGTGTCGTCCTTTCTTGGTGTGAAGAAGGCCTGGATCCCGTATTTCCTAGCAGCTGGGAGATCCTTGAAGTAAGGATGGAAAACCCTAGTTTTTAATTTTGGTAAACGTTCGGCAAAACTTGCAGGAACAGTTCAGCCACCAAGTTTCAAAGGCTCCCGCCCGAGGAGAGGCACTGAGCATTGCTCTTGGCCCAGCAGCATATACTTCAAATGTCAAACACTGTACATGGGTGACTCAATAGATAGTTGCCGGTCACAGAAAAATGTATACTCTGAACTTTCAGGTCATGATTAAGTACTAAGTGCTTCTACTTCTTTGTAATTCAAACAGGTTTACAAACATCCTTGATTCCTTATTTTAACCCAACCTTCCCAAATCCATCAAAATCCATCCCCCCATTTTGGGGATTTTGGTAGGCGACCCATGAGTACCAAGTCCATCAAAATCCACCTGTCGCAGTGGTGGTCTGGTGGTGGATTTCAGCGGATTTGGTCCTAAACCGTTATGTGAAGCAGGGTCAGTGATGGATTTTGCCGGACTTGGTCCAGTACAAAAGACTCTAGGGGGTTAAAACAAAACAAAAAACTGGAAGGCAGATTGAATAAATGGTAAATCCATACCTTGGAGCCAGAGGCCACATCAGACCCCTTCTGTTGGATGCCAGCCGAAGGCCTTGCCTTGCCAGGCTGGTCTAGGTCTGTATCCTCGTCATCTTCCGTGGCCGATGATGTGCAAGGTTGGTCCTCGCTCAGCCTGGCCACACTTGTCAGGAAGGTATCCAGGCGCTTGATGCCTGATTTCCCCGTCTGGATCTCACTGAACTTGGACGCCGATACGCCAAGGCTAGTGATTGCAGGCACCCTGAAAAAATGATCATCACATATCGACCCATAACATAACATATTGGCCAACAATGTTCAATAGGCTCATTGCATGCAAATGTCAGTATCTTTGTAAAATATAGACCCTTGTTGACACACAAAAGATGCATTTTGTTTAAAATTGCTAAGATAGAAGCCTTGTTTCAGAGGGTTGCAGATGCCCCCCCCCCCCAAAAAAATTTCCTTTGAAGTAAAACATGAAATACCTAGCTGAATACGAACTACAAAATAAAGGGAATTGAGGCAGCTGAAACACTTTCCTACCATGCTTCTTGCTGATTGCCAGCCATGTTTAGGCTCTGTATGACCATGAAGACATCCTTGGCTATGGTAGCGGCATCGATGTGATGCAAGGCACAGGAACGACTCAGGCTGGTGGGGGGATTGCAGTTCTGCTGTACGTGAACAGACAGCAACTTGGCCATGCGGTTATTCTGTGGGGAACAAAACCAGGATATTCAGCATAATGGTCAACTGGGGAATGCCTTTTGTACGATTTGGAATTGGTGTGTACTCAAGTCCATCACACGTCCATCGCAAGTCCGATCACAAGTAAATCACAAGGTCTTTCACGACTCTAGTCACAGGTAACGGTGGATGAACAATAACAACCCTTTGTCACATCTGAATAGCTTCAGACTTGACCTAGGACTGCATTACTTGTGGCTTGTGAGAACTTGTCAGGACTTATGATGAGCTCGACTACATCACCGGTTAAAACACTGGCATGGTCATGGTGTTTACGTTATTGGGCAAGACCAAAAGTCTGTCCTGAGCCCATCAGGCATTTATCTGCACTGATCTCTGGTCTCCTATGCATGGAACGAATAAGAGTATTTATTTCCCCCGTGAGATGGGGTTAAGATGCCAGCACTCATTTTTACTCCGAAATTTAGTAAAAGGTTTAGAGTATCTTTATGTGGTATCGTAACAGTGGATGAACAATAACAAAGCCCTTGTCACAGTTCACGTAGATTCTGACTTGACCTAGGACTGCATAACTTGTGGCTTGTGAGAACTTGTCAGGACTTGTGATGAGCTGGACTACATCACTAGTTCAAACCCTGACATAGTAACAGTGTTTACATAATTAGGCGAGACATAAACTCTGTCCTGAGCCAACTTAGCTCATCAGGCATTTATCCACACTGATCTCCAGTTTTCTATGCATGGAATGAATACATGTATTTGTTTCCCCTGTTGATGGGATTAAGATGCCATCTCAGTTTTGCAGCTAAATGCCAGTACCCATTTTTACTCCTAAATGTAGTAAAAGGTTTAGAGTATCTTTAAGGTCTGGATATTAAAAGTTTCTTCGTGATTTTGGAACTAGAGATGAAGCAGAAAGCATACCAAGTCTTGTTCCCGGACCAATCTCTCAGTCACCTCCTCAGCCAGCTGGCTGATCCAGTGCTTGACCTGAGTCACAAGCAAGAAATGAAATCACTACAAAATAGTTTGTTACCTCTGTAAGAGCTATTGGGTGCATTCAAGTAGCTCCCCCGGATCGACTTGGGTAAAAGCAGACAGGTTAGCCATGAGAGCCGGGCTAATCGAACGCTCAAACGTGGACCATCATGATCCACTTGTGAAGTCCATAGCCGTGGCTGTAGCCACTGACAAAATGCCCGTTTCGGACTGAGCCTTCCTTTGAGATTCACTGTTTTCCGTCAATCGCAAAAAGGAGTAAAGTCGGGCTGGAATTATGGCCTCTAAAGTCACAAAGATCTCAATAAATATTTATGTTTAGACTTCAAATAAAGTTGATTTTTTGGGTCCACTTGAGCTTATCTGCTGTCGGCCGCCATGTGAATCCGTTTTTTGGAATGAACAGTGCATGACGTATTAAACCACTGACTCTACTCCATGAGCAAGGTCTGTGGTGGCTGACCCGGGTGAGCCCTGAGAATGACATCAGAGCTAATAGAACGGCATGGGGCTGACCCGAGTCGACCAGGCTGAGGTAATCGAACACACCCAAAGCTTATTTGTTATGAAGGATATACAGAGGCAGCACATCAGGTGGCGAGTCAGCTTCTTAATAAAACAATAATAAAACTGATGGATACTGTCACAATTCCAATCGATTTTTCAAGTCCTTTTATGGAAATAGATACTATTTCTTTAGCTTTCTATAGAAAAGAATATAGCAGGGCACTTCATCAAGGATTAACCTGTGTGTTCACACAATGAAACTGAGTAAGCAAGTTGTTGTAAGTTACACTGTGGTGCTCCAATCTTTTCGTTTTTACATATTTTTTTAATAACTGAGTATCCATGAACTAAACTCTGATTCGCTAAAATGTAGAATGGTATAAAATGAACAGTACAGAAATAAATGACCAGGGTCTATCTTGTGAAAATCCAATGTACTTTAGAGAACACTCAAAATCAGTTAGCAATCAACACATTGGGCTTTTGGATGATCGGTTTTTGGCGATGTTCGTGGCACAAATAATATCAGGAAAAATGTTGACCTTGGGCTTCCTAATATGCTGTGACGTCATCAAACCGGAAGTTAGGTGTTATCAGTACACACACTAATACATTCATTGTCAATTTTGTACTGTCAGACATTGTGTTCACTTCACGATATGTATCTTCTCTGAACTAATTTCACGTTTGCACATTTAAACTGATGACGCCATCTTACCGGAAGTAACGTCTACATGTAAACAAAATGTAGACTGAAATTGATCCAACCCAAAATGAAGCATAATTTTTAAATTAAAACAAATGGTACCACTAGAAAAGACTGGATTTCTAGATTCTTCTTTTTTCTGTTCCGACGAAAAAATAATCACCACTGATCTGGGCAATGTGCAATGAAATAGTTGTCCACTCGATCACCCTGCGTTTGTAACTCTACAAATGCCAATCTCTAGTTTATTTTTATCCTTTCTTTTCTTTTGGATGTAAGTAGTGCATTCTAAAGGATGGCTGAGAATTATTTGACGCCTATTACCTTTTGTTTTGTGTCCAGTGCCATCTTCCCTCGGAAGTTCTTGCCACAGCCTACTGACTTGGGTAAAAGACGGGCTTTGATTGGTTCGTCATCTATGCCACGACAAAGACCATACAACCAGGCACTGGTGCAAACCCAAAAGCAACAAGAACTCAAAATCATTTACAGTGACTCTTTCAAAGAAGAACATGTGGTGTATGGCGAGTCAGCCTGTCAGGCCTGTATGCTGGGGGGGGGGGGGGGGGGGGGCGAGCCCCTCTGTGTGCCCATGAATTCAATTTTTTGGCTTTAAATTCAATTCATAAATACCTGGGACAGTCTACGCATTCCTATTAGCCGAGAGCGTGGGTGGTTTTAAACCGCTGGTAAAACACCGGTCAGTGTTTAACCCTTTCATGCCCACATTGTTTATTGACTTGGCTCTCCCCAGGACCAAATTGTTTGCTCAGTCATGCGGAAATCACTAGAGCGTGAAAAAAATGAGCACGAGTCGAAAACTCACTTTTTTCAACCCAGATTTTTACTGCCAAGGAGTGATTAAAATCATAGGTGTTGTGTGTAAAGTTTGTTCCTTGAACCTTACTCTTTTATGTGATGTAAAAATGAAGTCCATACGTGCAAATATAAGAAAGTTATGCCTTTTTGTTTATCTGGTCCCAATTATCAAACTGCAAGCCATTCCACCACATGACCCAATGGCACTCCATACCTCAAATTGTGCGTGGATACTTCTGAAGCACTTTTCTCATTTTTTTGTAATGGTAACACTATGAATAAACCACACCATTAGAAAGATCCGAAAACACTCTTTCAACTGGTATATAGTTGATGTATGGGCGGCCAAACATATCAACATGCTGTCTTTCTGAAAAGTAGTTAATATATCTGTGCTGAGGGTGTTTTGTGTGTGGTTTCCTGGTCGACTAAAGTCGCCCATGGGAACCAGCAGGGGGGTACTTCTTGTGGACAAAAGTCGCCCATGGGGAGGAAAGGGTTAAACAGCAATGTTTAAAACTGATTGCGAGCACCAGCGCTCCATGCCATATAAGCGCACTGCGTGCAGTACGCGCCGCATGCTCCGGCTTGAAAGCCACTGATATGATCTCTATATACGGAGAGGTTAAGCACATCAGACGCACTACACACACCATAGAAAAGTCCCGGACATGCAGTAAATGATAGAACAAAAGTGGAGAAGTTTGTTAACTTTGTGACTTTTTTATGGTTTTTACCCCAAAAAGGTACATGTATTTACCGTATGAATGGGGATAATAGTGTAATGGAGCAATTATATGTATACATGATGTTTGAAACCGGTTAGGCCAAAAAAAAGAATACTTCTGCTTCCGGTTACCCGACCGACCCTATTTTTAGGCTGCGACCCTAAAAAATTTATCGGCAATTCAAAAAAAAAAAAAAAAAAAAGATTGAATAATTAAAAATAAAATTTTGTTGTCTTTTCTGTCTTCACAAAATACCTCTCAACAACCCTTTTGCATCCAAAAATGCTTGTATTTATTTGTTTTCTTACTTACATTCGCTTTTTTTCAAAAGAAACTTCCGTTATTTTTACAAATTCGCTTCGCGATATAAACGATGTCCGTACGGTGACTATATCACGTGGCGACGACTGGTTCCCGCCGCGCCGCGCGCAGGGGCCAATTTAGAAGACATGATGAAAATGCGGTAACCAGTCCATAGCTATGCGATCGCGACTGGCGCGCTAGCAGTGCAGGCCACTGTCAACTGGTCGGATTCGACATCGTGAAAAATGCCAAGAAAACACCGATGGAGAAAGAACATTTTTGCAAGTTAATTTACAGAATTGATCTAGCGTGTCTGTGTACACGTATGTATTTTCTGTGTTCAAGAGTTCATTTTAAGATCGCACTACTCGTATTTGGAGTGATACATGCCGCGTGTTTCCCGAAATTTTTGACCGTGAAAACAGGTCTGTCGGCCCATGGCGGGCCGCTCGCCACACATGCTCGCATCACACACCTCGGAGTTTTGGCCAGCTCCCCGCGTCTTGACTAGCGTTGTGCATATGGTGCGAACGGCCTGAATTTTCCATTATTTTTTGAAATTATCCAATGTAAATATATTGACAATAATTAAAGGTAGGTTTTATTCACTTTTTGTTGCCATTTCGTGTATAGCTTTCGTAGTGCAATGGAAATAGTTAAGGCTAAAACTTCGCATATAATTGAATAACCCATTCAATCTGCATAAAAAAAGTTGGCAAAAAAAAAAACATTGCCGACCGACCGACCCTTTTTTTTGAAAGGCATGTAATCGGAAGCAGAACTATTTTTTTTTTGGCCTTAGGGGCCTGGCCAGCAAACTTGTATCCTCGATTCTGATTGGTCGATCCATGGCAACAACAGTGTGATACTATACTGTATTGCACGGTCCATATGGCACCCTGCGTATTGCGCTATTCCAAGATGTGAGCGACATTCCAGCTGCATGCGCTAAACTGCTAAAATGTTCGTGTAAAGTTTGCTTTTCAAGTTTGCTTGAAGATAAATTCGTTATCACGCTCGCACTCGTGGAACACGGAAATTGTGTTCGGCCGAGTGGTAAGTGGTACACAGACGCACTACATTATTCCGTGTTACACTCGCACTCACGGGATAACTTGTATTGTCTTAAAATAATCCTGCAAAATGAACCGAGTGTATCATGGACACAAACATAATTCTGCAAAATGTTGAAAACTGGCAGAAGCAAGAGATACAACCTATCGAAAATTGTAGAGTTTGACAACAAAACTTTGACAAAAGTTATTTACGCGGGAAGTAATTGTGTGATGACATTGCTAATGAGAGACTGACATATGGTCTAAACCATTTTTTTAATTTATGCTGAGACTTCTACTGTCTTTCTTGTTGATGAGCTGAGTATACCGCCCTCAACTGGTGCTGTTCGGAGCGGATAGGTTCCAGGCCTTACCCTGTTTTGTCGCCCACTTTAGCCTGGAGTTGTTTCTCCGTGTAGCGGCACAGGTCGCCCATGAACTCAATGCCCAGGTCGTCTGTCAGGCTCCGGCCCAGCTTCCCGCCTAAATTGCGACTGTGAGGTAACAAGACAAGAATTAGTCATGTTTAGTATTTTATTTTAACTGGTGAGGATGTGGTGTTGCATCGAGTCCCCGGGATAAAACAACAGGCAATTAGGATAGACTCGATATGAGCTCAGGAGCTTGAGAGACAATCAGGACACCTGTGCAGTCACAAGGTCCAATTCTATTGGCCTTAAAGGTTAAATGGAAAGTCGTGCTGATTACACTGACATTGTGTATAGCGGAAACGTTGTGCTTACTTTATTTTTCTGCATACATGTTGTTAAGCATTAGTCAGTAATTTAAGTTATTTAGGGCATTACGTAGATGCAAATTAAGGTAAAGGAAAGACAATAGCCCCTGGTCGTCCTACGTCGTCCCGCTTTTGTTGCAACAGACTTTTGTTCCCATACTGGAGATTCGCACTGATGTCCAAGCACGTTCCTAACCAGTGGAATGGACATTGGAATCTGTCGTCAGACTTAAAAGCCTTGGAATTTCGCCCTTCATCGGATTCTGAGCTTGAGTTTGCTGGGGTGTAGTCAAGGAACTCTCTCTCGGGTGGTGCCATGCCGCCTGACCGCTGGACTTCCTGAGTGTCTCTGACTTGGCCGTGCTTGGCCTGTTGCCGTCTGCACTGGGTACCCTTCCTTTCCACCATGGCTGCCGGACTGACCCCTGACTTGGCCCACCTTGGCTTCAGCCAGTGATTTGGTGCCGTTCCCACCGGCGCCACGCCCTTCAGCTATGGCCCTTCGCCGACTGGTCAGCTACTCTGAATGCTCCACTGATCCAGTCTACACCCATCTGTCAAGCTCCCGGTCTCGGAGGTGGCTGATCAAGATAAGTCCGATCATGACAAGAACTCTCTTGCAAGAACTCACTCGCTTGTACTTTGTAGGCATGGAGATCTTCTATCTTTTCTATTTTTTTTATAACCATGTTAAGGGGTTTCCATTTTTACAAAAATTTGGTCCAAGTTCTGGGGATTTCGAAAGACCAATTGTATACTGGTATGTGATCCCCACAACTTGGGAATCATAACTTTGAAATGGACGAAGGGTCTGTTAGCAGAAATCACCATCAGCCTAGAATCACCATGAATTTGGTTTCCGGGCCGTGGAGTTGCGCAACATGGAATGAAAGATTATTAGCCAGAATGTCTTTTGAAATACACTGCCGTCATCTTTTTCTCTTTTGATTTTTTGCTTAGCAGGGCAACTCTGAGCATGAACCCAAGCATAATAAGCATTTCACCAATTAGTTAATACCCTTTTTGCAGCTCAACTCACATTTTCTTGATAGGTAGCGTTTTGAAGAGCAGTTCGACACTCTGCTTGGGCACTGCTGTCTGTTGCTTGGGTTTATGCAGGCCACAGGCCAGCTTGGCCAACACCTGCAGAAATAAAGAGAAACAAGCAATTTATTTAAAATTGACTTTCACATATAAAGTTGTCAGATCCAATTTCTTTTTTTTTCAGTGAAAAATTTAGTATTCAAAATTCACTAACGCGGCCATTTATCGAAATCAAAAACCATTCACCAATGGTAAGTCCATAACTTTTTGGGACTGTGCGTACTTCAGGACTACATCTGAAGATATTTTGTTTCTTTTGCATTTTAAAACCAACTTTAAAAGGCTCACTTTAGATGCTTTTATGGGTATGTGTACATGTAGTTCGAATGATTTCACATAGAATCACCAATCTTCAAATTGGCCCAAATGACAACTGCTTTCTCCTGTCATGGATACTGCACACACTATTTCACTACTCTAGAAGGGTCACATGTCAAGTTTCTTAAAATAAATATGATATCATATATGTCACTCAAATACCGACAGATGACCAGGTCACCAAAACACCGAGTATTGCCCAGTGCATTAGATGGAAAGGATGCGAGTTGAAGTTCATGAATTAAATCATGTAACAATTTCATTTATGTTTTACAGAGCATAACATCAAAAACAAAAAGTTGTTGTGTTGCCCTCACCCAACCCACCCAAAAATGTGGAAAATATCGGTTGTTTTTTTTTAAACAAAACTTAAATAAACTTTAACCTTGCCATTACTGTTTCTTTGTAATGCCATAATTGTGCAATTTGTTACAAAATGTACATACCTAAATGGCAGTACAGTTTACCATATTTTGTACAGTGTGACTGAGGCCAAGGTCTGGGGCATGTGGTGTGATGTACTGCATACATCCAACTGTACGTTATATCCCATGCATGCACATGAACACAGTATAGTTGGCCTGTGCGGTACATGTAGCCTAAACGTTTCATGTCGAGAGGAACTGGTAACCGACAAGTGGCCATTCTTTCCATTTATTCGTCAATTAGAAGAAAGGTTAGGTATTCTTCAAATAGAAGAAAGAAACCCCCGACCGACCGACCGACCGACCCTCCTGATATTTTTCATGTGAGGACAACACAATTTTTTTGTTTGGCCTAATGTCACCCCTTTTTCATCTTTTGACTGCTTCCTTAACGATACGCCCTCAAGGATTCTTATGAGTGCAAGTGCCATTGGTTCCTCCCGTGTAACAAATTTGCTGTTTCCCTCCTTACAAGGGTCGACCCGTACCTGACTAGATTCTCTGATAAATAAGTCAGGGTACCGTGTCAAGCTTCCCACTGAGAACCACTGATGTTCTGGTCAGGTGGCTTGGGTCACAGCTCCATACCTTGTTATGTGAGATTCCAGCCGAGCAGTGGAACTTGGTCTGTTCAAGGACAGCGGCCCTCATTTCCTCAACAATGACGGAGGCGACAGCAAGCCGTTTGTTCTCAAGATCTGTCACTTGGTCTAGCCACTGGAATGTGCCTGTTCTCCTGGCATCTGGAAATGCATCATAAAGGGGTAAGTTCATAGGCAGGGATATTAACCCATACATTCTCAGACCCTTCAAACTCCATCATATTATTTCAGGGTATATTGCTGAACTAAGAAGGGTCTAGCTGACCATGTTATTATTTTGGGAATAACAGTGTGAGGAGCCAGTCTTCACTGCGTGAAAATGACCAGGTTGGGGGATGGCTATTTTTATGGATAGAGCTGAAGATTCCGGAAAGCACTCTAGGCACTGTATTGTTGATGTACCCTAACGTGGCGCGGCCCCCAACGTGGCGCACTTTGATTTTTCGCCTGTAGCGCCTAGCTAGAGCAAAAGTTGTAACTGAAATTTCACAGAAAGTGAAATTTCATCAAGTTCTAGACACTCCTGTTCGTAAATAGCGAGTTTATTTACCCGTTACAAAGTTAGAAGAAAAATTAATTTTGGCGTGATTTTCTAATTTTATTTTAAAGTGCAAAGTGAACCCTTGAAAATGCCCCGAAAAATAAGAAAATAATTTTCTGACAAACATCTCGCTGGGTATGTAAGTAGAGATAATAATGATTTATCAGAATTTGTCAAGTTTACAGAAATTCTTAAAATGTTAATTTGGAATTTTCCGAGATTTATTCAAGTGCGCAACGTTTGTGCCCAATTTCCGGACGCCACCGTTTTTGAATTTCGGATTAAATTTTTTGAAACTGAAATTGTTCACAGAGGTTAAATAGCAAGCATTGGTAAAAGTACCAGTATTTCACTGCATGAATTTAAGGTTTGTCAACAAAGAGGTTTGGCAACACTACACGAGGAAAGTTGGGTAAGCTTCGAAGTGCGCCACATTAGGGAACACGACTATAGCTGGCAAGCCTTAAGAACCTGTAAAATTTTAGTCGTAAGCAATATTCATCAGAGGGCAATTTCGCCGGTGACCAATTTTGTTAATGAAGAAAGTACTTTCTGTGTTTAGCAAATGTCCATGCTTAGAAGCCAGTGTTGTAGTCGCGTCCATCACAAGTCCCTACCCGCAAGTCCATCACAAGTCCCTGCAAGTCCATCACAAGTCCATCACAAGTCCTGCAGTCTCAAGTCAAGTCACTAGCTATTAAATTGAACTGTGACAAAAGCCATTCCTTTGCCATTGTTCATCCTGTTACTTGTGACTGGACTTACATTTGTGAAATAAAAGGGCTTTTGAAATGACTTGTGATGGACTCGACTAGACCGCTGTTAGAAGCTCCATGTTATCGGCCCTGCTGAGAGACCAAAATAAAACAAACTTTACCTTCTGCGGTGAGTGGTGCCGCGGACGGACCATTGCCCTCATTTTCCTCTCCGTTCCCTTCATCCTCTCCCTCGGAGGTCTCAAGCCCCGCCCCTTGCTGCCCGTCCCATCCAGCCACGTGTGTATTGGGCAGCATGTCCACGCTGACGGACTCCCCTCCCATCTCGGCCATGCGCGAGTGAACGGCCTCGGTCAGGTCAACGTAGGCCTCGTCGATACTGGCCCTCTCCACGCAGTTACTGAACTGGGTCAGGACGGTGATGACCTCTGCTCCTGCTTCTCGATACCTGGTGAAATTTACCCCATGGATGTGTGAAACAAATTGGCAAGTTTGTACATCCTGTGTTCATTTCATCCATGGACACATCAGGACAAACACAGCACATAAACACACATTGGGTCTGTGCCTTCAGGTACCTGGTTCCGATGCATAGCCTTCGGGCGATTCACAATGCAGCGCGCCACCAAGAGTTTGCCACGGAGAGTTCATTTTTCCCAGTGCACTGTGGGAGATGGTCGACAAATTCGCAGCACGAGACATTTGAAATTGTTAGTTTTTCCGGTCAGTAGTTTCGTAAGCGTATGATTCGAGGATCTGTTTGCCGTTTTCTTTTCTTCTTATCAATATGGTGTTTTTTGTAAGGCGGCAGAATGCTACGTTCCAATCCATAACATATTAGATCAACTTGTCTACTGACACTCATTCAAATGGGCCATGTTTTGTCGACTGTAAATTTGAAAGATGGACTCTCCATGGCAAACTCTTGGTGGCGCACTGCATTGTGAATCGCCCGAATTGGAACTGGGTACCCGAGTACCTGACCGCTGATGTCAGGAACCGGTTCCAGATTACAGGATCGAGTACATTTGTACCTGTAACCAACTTTACAAATTACTTAGTAACATCTCAGACAATGAAAAAGAAAAATTTTGAATGTCAAGTGTGGGGAATTATCAAAATGAAAACCAGGCTTCAAGGAAAACCAAAACAGATTTCACATTGAATTTATACATTTATATTGCGCAAATTTCATAAGAATTTGATCAAATGCGCATCACAATTATTATCCCTGTTCATCAGAAATGAGACCCTGCAGCAGCACCAGATCTGCGCAATATGGTCTCTACCATCACAGGTACCCATATCTACTCTGGGGTGGAGAGAGGCAAGCGTAGTAAAGTGCCTTGCCCAAGCCCACAAGCACATTGTCCCCTATCGGGGTTCGAACCTGTGTACCACGGCACACAAGTCGAACACCGTAACCACTGGACCACAGAACCCCACAACATTTATGCGCATCTCAACGCGAGACAGATAATGCTCGCGAAAGTTGCATTTTACACCGTAAACCTATAAAGTCCTTCAGACAACTTCCAGGACTTGAATTTCGGGGTTGGGTTTCTCTTAGGGGAACCCCTGTTTTACTTCAACTGGGTACCTAGTTCCCGCATTTCCCCATAAAGGCACATCACTACTTGTGATGGATTCGAGTACAACACTGCTTTGTTCTTGGACTTGAACTACCTGGTGAGGTCTGCTTTTCCTCGATTCACAGGGACCTGGACCAGTTGGATAGCCGGGCATTTCTCTTTGGCCAGGCCACCTCTCATTTGCCTTGTGACTCCGTGGGCCCTGGCCTCATAGCTGACAGCTATAATCCTGTGATAGTGATAAGAGATAGAGAACAAGAATCAAAATAAGACAACAATGTAGGCTGGAGTTACATCAACAACAAACAATTTCCACCGGAAATTTGTGAAAAAAATGGTGTGTGTTTAAGTTCTCTCTGGAAATAGGATGGAAACTAGACAAAGGGAATGTTCAAATTAGTTTTGCCAAGTCAATAACTTATAATACTAATAATACTAAGTGTAAATAATTTAAAAGGGCAGCAGCTGAGAAAAAGGAAGCAGGCAGGGATGAGAAACTGCTTTTTTTGTTATTTCACTTCATTAGGGATAACCTAACTTGTGATTTGACTTATAGAGACATACCAGTAGATAGGGCTAAGCATCGGAATTGGGTACCCAAGTACCCGACCGTCAATGTCGGAAACCGGTTCCAGATTATGGAATCAAGTACCTGTAACCATCTTTAGAAATTACTCAGTAACTTCTCAGAGAATGACAAAGGACGCTCTTCGAATGTCATTGATAGAGAATTTTTTTTAATGAAAAACAAAATGCGAAAAACAAAACCAATTCCTTGTTTACGATGCTCGTGTACATGTAGTTGCAATTTTTACCATAATGGTAAAGAGGTCACTGTACACATTTGTAACTTGCGCACTGGTGCACTGATATGGGGTAGTATTAGTACATGTACATGTATGCAGAACTTTATGAACAATCTGAATAGCAACTTCCGAGATTGACATTTTTGGGGTTCCTTTTTTTTTAAATTGGTACCTGGGTACCCGGTTTTTTTTCTCAATAGGGTACCCGGTTCCTGTACTAAATGCACACCCCTACCAGTAGTAACGTCATGCTCTGTTTACATGTGTGCTTTCCAATGGGAGTAGCGTTTTCAGATTGTCAATTCTTAATTACGAATTCATCTTAATTTCAGTTAATTATTACTCTTTAACTATCAATGTTCCTTTTGAATTTTTTAAGGATTAAATTCTCCTGAATGCATTACTCATCATTTTCCTTGTACATGTATGCAATGTGTAGTCCCTATTGTTTTATACAGAGCAAATGACCTTCACTGCCCACACACAAGTCACTGGTCTGAGTTTGGTACAACAAAGTTACTTAAGTGTTTTAATGTACTGTTACTCATGCATAGTCATCTTTCTGAGAATCAAGGAAACCAAGACGTTATGACTTAGTTTTCCCACTCTTAAGTATTTCTTATTTCAAAGACTTCCTGTTCCACCAGTATAGTACTGCCCTGTGAGCAGTTCCTCATTCCATTTCTATTGCAACCATTCAGTCCAATACAATCCAATCATGTAGTCAGTTTAATTCGTTCTGCTCATCCAGTCAGTTCACCCAGTTCTCCTTGTCCCAGTTCGCTTTAACCAGTTCAATCAATCAATGTGTATTAACATATTGTTGTGGAATAAACGGTCACGGTAAACACAGTCTTCAACAAAAGAATTGTGTATCGACTTATCCATTCCCCAACAGGAGCTTGGTTGGCTCTCATCCCCACCCAGTTTCCATACGAAAGCACACGGGTAAAACGCAGTCATCATTATGTTTTATGCCTATTAAAACTCTGTGACTACTAACCCTCCTCCTTGCCAGGTGTTGTATTGTACTACAGCACAGGGCTGGCCCTTCAGTGCTGGGTTCCTCCTCTGCTCCACTTGAACATAGAAGCAGTCCATGTCAATCAGAGTCACAATTCTCTCTGGCGATGGCATCCTTGTTGTTTATAAGGTGCTTCCAACGGCCTTACTATGTGTCCGAGAAAAACGGCATTTTGAGAAAATTGACTTTACTATTTGATTTTTGTGCCATTTTGTGATTCATGACTGGATTGGAAACTGGAAGAAAGTATGAATATAAGGATTGCTTTTTAATTCACTTCTTCGAATTTTGAGCATAAACGGTTGGACAGAGTTAGAAATATTGTACATTTTTTTCAGTTGAAGCAACAAAAGTACTCAAAATGTAAAGACGGGTGCTTAGCAACTATCCTGATCAGACTTTAGCTCTGTGATTGTGAATGCTGTAAAAGTGAGGAAATATGGGAATATGTACAGTCGGCCAGCTAGCTGTACATATGATGTACGTACTAAGATCAGTACTGTATACTTAGGTACACACACGCATATTTACGTTACATACCAAGTGTGGACATTCCCTTGGTTTCGTGTAGTTAAGAAAAACCAGTAAAAAAACTCATTTTTCTCAATCTGTGAAAAGCCTTTCAACCCAATTTTTTCTTTGATTCCCTTTAGTGTTTCTCTTCATTTTGCCACAGATAAACCTAACCCAAAAATGCCTCTAAACCTGTTTTCCTGAAATGGGGAAACACTGTGTGGACTTGCCCAAGACCACTCAACGTCTCCTCTACCTGGTTTATGTGGACCTCTTTTGTTCGGAAGTCCACACAGTGAATGTAATGCCTACCCACTAGTGATCTCTATTATACTAGAAATCAGTGTTGGACACGCACGATACACTGCAGACGAACGGGATCACGCACATACGTACGTACATCGTACAGCTAGCTGAACGACAGTACACGCATGAGGGTGCACTATACAGGAAGGATTAGCGCAAGGGCATTGTTCAGCTGGAACACGGTTGCAATTGAGTTATACACAGAAACTAATGCCAAGAAACATCCACAGTTGGCTGGAAATTACGCAAAAGCTGGACAACATATGCGGCAAATTCTGAATTTGTTATTAACAGGGTGAGTGTGTTTTGAAAGCATAAATCAACTATGCACACGGTCTGAATGTGAAAATACAATTGGTAAAAAGTCTTCACATTCTGAGTTAATTCTTAAAAAGTGTGGCCTCTAATTTACGGAGGTTAATTATGTAGTCCAGTAAATTGGTTACATTTTAATTATGGGGCTACAGTCATGTGGCGTGGGTTCGAGCCTAGGTCCAGACACTTGTGCCCTTAAGCAAGGCACTTAATCATTATTGAGCTTCAGTAATCCTTACCTTTAGGACACCTCTATTTTTACGAGTTCTGTTCAAAACTGACTTTTGCACAAATGATTGTCCAGTACCAAAGTGACTTTTGCAGGCTAAACGAAAAATTAGACATCTGAAAAAGGCAGCACTTTCTGATTAGCCTATAAAGAGGGCGAGTATGCTTCGAAAGCAAAAATAAACTACAAACTAAGCCTAAATGTGAAAATCAAAATTTGACAAAGTTTGACATGTTTTTGTACATGGTGAAGTGTGGCCTTTATTTACGGAGGTAAGCCCGGTTCATACTTCACGCAAAAGCGAAAGCGAAGCGAAATTCGTGACGTCAACAATACATTCGAAGCGCGTCCACCATTGTTGACGACATGAATTTCGCTTCGCTCATGCTTTCGCGTGAAGTATGAACCGGGTTTAAGTCCAGTAAATATATAGGCCACATTTATGGGGCTAGACTTAGGCCTAATTAATCGCTAACGGGGACCTCTAACAAGTAACATGTCTAACCTGGCCTAGCCCCCCCCCCCCCCCCCCCCCCCCCGTGTTTCTGGCCTAGAACTAGCTTGAGCAGGCCTAACTCCAGCTGACATGCTCCATATTCGTTACATGTGAATGAATATGGAGCATGTCAGCTGGTACATGGTAGACCCTAGCCCAGGTTGGACGAAGTCTTCATTGCAATGAGAAAGGGAGTCCACCAGGGCTAGGCATGCTAGGTAGACCCGTGAACGTGGCTTGTAAACTAGTCAGCTGGAGTTACTCAAGCTAGCCTAGAACCAACCAACCAAGTAAGGTAAGTGTAACTATGACTCTACAAATCGCCTTTTTTAACAGTCGTCATTTTTATTAATAATTGCGATTTCTCACCTAAGGTTTCGTTCGACGGGTCGGACGATAAGGCCACAAGCAGTGCACTATATCGATCAAGTTGTTTCGTTTTCGCGCATTATATACGTACGTACGTAGCGCCCTCTGTAGTCGTGTTTTTGTGGTCAATGTACGTCCGGCCTAGGTACGGTCCGGCCGCGCCGCACGTACGTCCATATGACGTCGTCCGTCAACTCCTGCTCTGGTCCTGCATTTTGTCCTGGGGATGCTGGGTGAGCAAAATTGTCGTAATTTCACCAATTCCTGTGACATTTCATTGATTTGAAACGAGCTGCTTGGTACCTAACCATGTCAAGATCATGCGTATGAAATACTGATATTTTTTTCGACAGGAATTGAGGAAAGTCAGAAATTACAAACAAAATTGAAACGGAAAGAGTTCACCTGATCACTGACAAGTGACCCTGGTGACCTACTGTAGGCTAGCCCAGGTAGCATGATGTAGGCTGTACTATTATTACATGATGATGTATTGTTGATGTTCCCTAACGTGGCGCGGCCCCTAACGTGGCGCACTTTGATTTTTCGCCTGTAGCGCCTAGCTAGAGCAAAAGTTTTAACTGAAATTTCACAGAAAGTGAAATTTCATCAAGTTCTAAACACTCCCGTTCATAAATCGCGAGTTTATTTACCCGTTACAAAATGAAAAGAAAAAATTATTTTGGCGTGATTTTCCGATTTTATTTTCAAGTGCAAAGTGAACCCTTTAAAAATGCCCCGAAAAATAAGAAAATAATTTTCTGACAAACATCTGGCTGGGTTTGTAAGTAAAGATAATAATGATTTATCAGAATTTATCAAGTTTACAGAAATTCTTAAATGTTAATTTGGAATTTTCCGAGATTTATTCAAGTGCGCCACGTTAGGGAACACTCCGCCAATTTGTGCCCAATTTCCGGACGAGACCGTTTTTGCATTTCGGATTAAATTTTATGAAACCGAAATTGTACACAGAGGTTAAATAGCAAGCATTAAAAAGGTAAAAGTACCAGTATTTCACTGCATGAATTTGAGGTTTATCAACAAAGAGGTTTGGCAACACTACACGAGGAAAGTTGGGTAAGCTTCGAAGTGCGCCACGTTAGGGAACACGACTATATTATAAGTTATCCCGCGAGCGCGAGTGGAACATGGAATAATGTAGTGCGTCTGTGTCCCACATTCCACAAGGCCGAAGGTATGACACAGACGTACTACATTTTCCGTGTTTAACGAGCGCAACCGTAATAACGAATTCAAGCAAACTTGATGCACAGTCATGACAGTTAAGATCATGAGATGGAACACGCACACATCGCATCTTGGAAAAGCGTAATATGCGGAGTGCGGTATGGACCGAGGCCGTGCTACATGGTTATATGTAGCACGGCTTGTTGCCATGGATCCACCAATCAGGATCGAGGATTCAAGTTTACTTGAAAATAACAGTCGTTTTCCTATTTCCGGATTTTTCCTAGTTCCGGATCACTTCAAATAAAAACCTACCTCTTTTGGATTAGTCTCCCAAAAACAATTTCTGACGATGTTAGCTTCTTGATACACAAAGATCTTTTCGATAAAATCTTTATAAGAGGAATTTTGGCCAGATTTCTGACTCGCAGTAGGCCTACATGTATGGACGGTTTGTAGAAAATCGCAGGAGCTGTGAATCGACGATAAATGTTCTCCTTGGTACATCACTCGTACCGTGTGATTTTGAATATTTTGTTCATACACTACAGTCGTATAAACTCTTCCATCGAATGTTTGTTGAATCAAAATGAGTTGTAGAGTCTCTAATATTTGAGAATTCGTCAACGAATGACCGTATGTTTTGCCTAGTTCTGAGTCGCGCGTGCACTCTCGACCCAACTACACATGCGTTAATCGATTTTGTGTGACGTATTCTGTGCTATGTCAAATGTTTTCGGTCCGTGTGAGTTCATGCCGTTGCGCTGCAGACAAAAGTTTCAAATCATTTATGTTTTTCTCGTTTTAAAATTTGCTGGAATTCTCTTGAATGAACTGTTTTGGGAAAATTAACTAATACTTTAGCAGAAACGTGCTTGATTCAGGGTTTTTCTGGCTGAAAATTTATTTTCTCATGTGATTTTTTTTGCGCGAAGCATTGTTTGATCGATTCAGAACTGATTGAACCAATTCGGAACTAGAAAAAAGGGAATCCTTACTTATGACGTCGTAAAGTCAAATTAAAATGAGCATAAATCTGGAAAATTATTGTGTAGTATCTGCATCACTCAAGATAAACTTTGTAATCAATGTCACTTGAATTTGTGGATTAGTTGAGCTGAAGCTGCCTGAATGATGTTTGCTATCCAGAATTAGGAAAACGACTGTATTCAAATGACTATAATGCCTATGGGGCTCTAGGCTCAAGTAGAGCCCCAAAGTAGGGGTACGCATGACCCTCGTGACTTAGCTTGAGTAACTCTAGCTCCAATGCTTATCTAATGCAATAAGCATTATTGAAGCTTGAGTTACTCAAGTGAATGTCAGACAACTGGACCGTTAAGACAACTCGACCGTTGAGACAAGTCAACTCGGGACAACTCGACCCTTGAGGCAACGCAATCATTATCCGAAACCTACCCCATCTCGGAGAGATTCCCATATCTGGCCATCACTTGTCATCCTGTGGACAAACCCTATGAGACTGGTCTGAAAATTTTTAAGTATTTCTCTCAGTAGACACTTCAATATTTTCCCTGCTAAATTTGACTTTTTAGGACATATTATCACTTTCTGATGGATGATAGGTCACACTGAAGGTAAAAATTAGTGATGGCCAGATATGAGAATCTTTCCCCGATCTCTTATGTCCGCCCATCCCATGTGCCAATGAATGGGATAGCCAGATAGCTCCATCTTTTTCCAATAAACTAAAATAAGCCTACCCCAGCAACCCCAGCCCCTTCAACCCGGCCCGATCCGACCGAGCCAAGCAGGCTACCCCCAACCCGTACCCCACCACCCGCAGCTGGACATGGAAACAAAATCCCCATGGCAAAAAAAAAAGTTGTCTCGCCATCCCATGCCCAACCGCCAAATGTAGCTCTGTTGTAGTAATGAGTGGAGTGCTGGAACTATGGTACCCTCCATAGTTCCAGCACTCCACTCAGTAGAGCTACCGGTATGCCAAATGCAGCTCTCTCTTAGCTTGGAAAACCCCAGCATAATTGGGTTCCCGGCCAAGCCAAACCCAGTTGTATCCCGTCAAGCAACCCCAACCCAATGATCAAATCCGAACATAACGAAACAATCCCCGGTATGGTAGGGCCTACTATGAATATTCCCAAAAAAATTGCGAGTACATGTAGACTTAACTTGTCTCAACAGGCGACTTGTCTCAACGGACGACTTGTCTTCCATTTAAAGCACAAATATGTTTTTGTCATGTGAGGCGCTTCCAAACTCGTGCCCCTTCTAGACTTGCTTTGGATGTTGTCATCCAGTTTCATCATGGTCTACGACCCGCTATCTGGAAAAGATCCCTGTTTACCTGGCTAAAACAGCCCTGGCTAAAGCTAAAGCTAGCCATGTCCACAAATGTGGGACTCTCCATGCTGTGTATATGAGAGTCCCAAAACCTAAGGTACTGAAAACATGCAATACAAGAAAAAAGACTGGCACATGAAACAACCAGTCCAACAGCTCTTTAGTACTGCATCAAGCCAATCAACCAACTGTGTCAAAAGAAACATCTGGGCCTAATCTGTATTTCTACATATTCTCTCCATAGTAATCAGGTCATGCTACCAGACTACTGAGGTGTTAATCTTTACAAAAAGTTGGACATGCACCAGTCTAGTTCTAGGCTTCAAATTGAAATTACAAACTGTGGCTTCACTCTCAGATGCCAAATGTTGAAGAAAAATCTCCTTTACCAATTGAATTGGTACCTCAAACTTTGTTGATGAAATAGTAAGGACCATGTCTTTGCCTCATGAAGATTTTGAAGAATTTTGTCGGCTAAAGAGTGAGTTAAGTTGACCTGATTTTGTTTTGCATGTTTTTCTGCACTCAAGGTTCCAGTCTAGTCTGGAGCTACAATCCCGGCCAAAATGGTTGGGACACTTCCTGAGCCTGCCACGGTCACCCACTCCCCCGCTCCCCCGGTCAATGTTGTTCTCTCCAGCTGATGGAGCACACATCGCGCAATGAGAGACAACATTGAACGGGTGGTTGGGGGCCCAGCGAGATTTGGCCAGGATTGTAGTCCCATAAATGTGTCTCAAACAACACCGACATGTAAACATGTAGGCCTTTTCTGTTATTTCATTGCAGATTCTCAGTTATCACTTACAACATGAGGTCACTTCTAACTGTAAGAGAATTACTGTCTCCTATAAGATGGTTCCGTATAAACAACCGAAACGCAGAACATGTATTTACATGTAGTTTCATCGCATTGGTTTTCTGCATATCCTATGGATCACCAGTGCTGATAAAAATGTAAGTGTACATTATAACTATTATAATTTTTGATATGATTGCTGGTTGTTGTGAACAATGTGATCCCAAAGGCCCAATGGTAAAAGTTACACTGTACATCATCCGCAATGAAACATCCAAATTTCTTTCATGGATGTTTTGAAGTGTTCAGTGTTCTTGAAGAGTAAAATCAGGAAGTAGATTGATGAATCTTTAAAAATTAAAGGTAGACTTGTCATGCCCCAACTAGATTCATTGTCCCAACTTAAGCAGGGACTGTTCCAACTAATTATGTGGTCCAGTTCGAACACTTGAGTTAGGACGGTTCCAACTTGGGTATTAAAGTGGGGACCATCCCAACCAAAGTGTTCGAACTGGACCACATAAGCGTGGACAGCCCCGGCTTAAGTTGGGACCGTGGCGTAACAGATTTATGAAGTGATTATGGAGTAACTCTGTCTGACTACATGAATTGCTAGAAAAACAGAGAGAGTGTGCTCTGCGCAGGAACTGAACCTAGCCTAGGTTTGTGTGCTCTTACCCAGAGACGCATTCATATGATGCAGACTGTGCATGACCAATGTTCAATTGAATGTGCTCATCCACCCTGCAGTGTCATAAAGTTCTACAAGGATCTTCCTGTGCTATCTGGACATAATATGCAATTCATTTGTCCAAAATGAGCATTCTTCAACAACATGGAATATGATTAGAGATTCTGCAATTCAATCAAACTTCATATGAGGTCCATGGAAGGAAGGCCGACATCAAAACAATCCTTTCCAATATAGATATTTACGAGTTATCTCGAGAGCTCAGCTCCAGTAATATTCAGAGGTGTGAAATCTCCGCTTTTTAGCGGATTTCCCCTTTTTGGTTCAGCGTGCCACATTTTGTTTTCCGCTTTTTTTTTGCCTACTGATGGTCCAGAATTTTCCCCGCTTTTTTCCCTGAGGGTAAGCATTGATTTTATTTCCGTTTATTTTATTTTCCGCCACTGCCAAACGCACGCGAAAAACAGAGTCGATTCGCTCTACACATTCGCTCGACACATGTGTTGTTTCGTACGTATTTTCCGACAGCTTTTGACATTATTAATTCCGCAAGATGTCAGTGCAACACAAATGCATAATTGTCCAAAGAGGTTTGGAGTTTGATACTGACATTGACAAGACCGATCCTCAAGTTACAAATCCGTGGAAATGGATTTGGATGGAACACACCATTCATCATTCATGGGCAGAAATTAAATGGCACGATCAGAAAAATCCAAAAGCCTGGCGTCCGATGTACATTCTTTTCCTAAGTAAGAGCTAGATTTAAACTTTAAAGGAAGTTTATTTTTTTGTGGGGCTTAGGAAGAATCGCACTACAAACCTCAATAAGCCTTTTCGGAGTTCCAACTGCGCGCATTCGTAACCTGTGACAATGCACATTGTTTGTCTCAAATGCCCTTTGACAGTACCCACAATGCACAAACAGCCTTTTTGTAAAGTCAGTGGCGCGATGATGTCAAAGGCCATTTGAGACAAATAGTGCGCGTTGTCACGGGTTATGAATGCGCAGTTGGAACTCCGAAAAGGCTTATTTCAACACAGTTTTCATATACAAGTTGGCCATTTAGGCAGTTTCAAGCCGATATGAAGGAAAAGTTAACTTAAAAAACATGAATAAATTGCAAAACATTTTCGACCAATAGTTGGCCCAGGAGGCTGTAAAATGCACCACAGAGCATCTATATTTCAAAGTTTTCCCTGGGTGGGCCCCGGACCCCACGCCGTAAGGGCTTCGCGCTCGCAGGTTCAGCTATTTTCAGCTATTTTTTTGGAGCTCCACTCACACCCCTGAATATTACTAACGACTCTAACATGTATGCAAACTGCCAGGTGATCGTGCAAGTTTTACTTGCAGTATTTTTGAATTTACACAGGAAACTACCCGCGACAGACACAACTGTGGATGTTCAGGTGACGGTGAAAACCAATGAGGTCATCCACATCACAGATGACAGGTTTCTGTCAGTGGGGTTCACTGTGGGAGATCTCAGTCAACATTGGAAGGATGACGATCTTGGGTAAGTGTAAGAATACCACCGCCAACAGATTGGGCGGTAACTTGTCAGTTTCTTTTCTTTCTACAAAACAGTTTTATTTTAATACAATTCCTCATACAATAATATTAATAATAATAACGTGTGCACAAACCTAAACTGTCACCTAACCCAAGTTCACCTTATCCTTTTTCCACGAAATTCAGTATTTTTACTAATTGGACCACGAGGAATCGATCTAGATGGTTTGCGACAGCAACAGTCCTTGTCCTAAGGGTCGTTTTCACAAAAGGGCGACAGTTATATGTCGCCTTAATAAGGTGTGTCTCCCTATTGTGGACGGAGTTAGCAAAATCTGTCGCCCTATCCTAGCAGTGTTAGTAAAATGATAATAATGATAATTAATAATAATAATAATAATTACCCTGGATTGGACATTTGGGAGACATCCCCATAGACTTGTGCACAAAATTGTCCAAACTTAAATGTATAACCCAATATTCCCTTGTCCTTTTTCCACAAATTTCAGTATGTTTACTAATTAGACCACGAGCAACAAATATAACCTAATTGCAAAATTGTGCCTCTAAAGGGGGGCTGTGACATTAGGAGACATGAAAATGTCTTCCTATTGACCGATGTCTCCCAAGAAATTACGATAACGTGTCTCCTTAGTGGTACCTTTCATCATCATCTCATCTTGGCCTGTCTCGTCGTAAACGACGATGAGTTCGACGTCTTTCACAATCGTCAATGTGGGTCTGTGAAGAGACTGAATGCCCTGAGTGGATAGCAGAGCGCCAGGGGGAGCGACCCAGTGCAACAGACTCCCAGGTATCATGCGGAATGTCAAAGGCAGACAAGTCTCGCTTAAGGACGTCCTTGAAGCGCAACCTAGGGCGACCACGAGGACGTGGGGCATCAGCCAGTTCACCGTAGAAGATGTCCTTAGGGAGGCGACCGTCATCCATTCTGCAAACATGACCGGTCCATCGAAGGTGACGTACTCTCAGCATGGTGAACATATCAGTTGCTCCAGTGAGAGCAAGGATGGAGGAGTTCGGAACACGGTCTTTCCAGGTGATGCCAAGTATGGAACGAAGGCAACGGAAGTGAAATGAATTTAAGCGTCGCTCCTGGCGGCTGTATGTGGCCCAAGTCTCGCTGCAGTAAAGTAGGACACTCAGTACGCAAGCTGTGTACACACGGATTTTAAGATTGATGGAGAGGTCCCGGTTGTCCCACACGCGGGAACGAGTTGCCGGTATCTGTGATTTAGAAGGTTGTACCATCATGATTGTGGGACGCCGAGCGCCGAGGCAAAGTAGTGTAAGTGATTGGTTGCCCAGGACAGACGCTTACCTCTGGACCTTAACTCATCGAATCCAGCGGAACGCGCAAGCGTGACAGCTGGGATGGGGAAAGGTTGTCCCGCAGTATCAAACTAACTGTGCTTCGTGACCGCTAACCGTTGACTTGAGGTAATCCAAGTTCATCCGCATGTCGGTCGGCTACAACCTGCCTGGAACACAGCAGAAGGTGGTCATACCGGGAATGCAGCTGCCAGCCCCTGCTGCCGAGCTGACATTATTTAACCCAGTAGGGGGTTTAAAATCAGAGTTTGCCTTCTCCTAGATGGGCTGCCAACCAAGGCTACGAGCCCCATCAACCCGAGTTTAAAATCAGAGTGGCTGTCTCCTAGGTGGACTACCTCACAAGTTAACGAGCTCCACCTGCCCGGAGCCAATTGGTTTTAAGGCGCCAGAAACCCGCCTTCACACCCCTGCCCTCAGTTCGAAACGGGGATCGGCATCGTGAAGCCGGGCAGTAGGAGTTTGAATTAGGAGAGGCTATTCGAGACGCTGATCATATGGAGCATTTCATGGATGAGAAGGGCTCAATCCTCCTCACCACCCCCGATCATCCTAAAACCTTGGATCCCCGTGGTACCATTACACGTATAATAATAACAGGATTTATAAAGCGCCATTCCATCTAGATCATACAAGCGTAAAACTTTCAAGTGAATCAACCATCAAACATGAGATGGTAGGCAGAAAAAGCTAATAAGAAAAAGGAATCAATGTTGTCATTAAAAATTATCAGGCTTCTTGCCAATCAACAATGTGTTATGCTTTCAAATACTCAACAAGTCGTAAAGTTCTACAAGACTGAAGTTAAACATGGTACATCTCTCAAGAATGTTGTCCAGCTCCCAATATGCTTGATTTGGTCACTTACGAAGTTGGATGTCCTCAGCTTGGATGCAGGTTTTAGGATGGACAGACTTTCTCAGCTGCTTGTGACCATCAATCAACAGGTATTAAAGAGATGCGGGTAGCATGGGTATCTTTGCGGCATTTATGGTGGCTATGAATCTATTCTGGATGCAGGGTTTAGTTCTGCTTCACTCCTGGCCTATCTTGACAAACAAACCTCGATGCTTGGGCAACTTCTCAGTCCTGCTTTGTCTAATACTGTGTATGCTTTTGCTCATACTCTAGACACCCGAGATTGTGTCAACTGTGGCAAAAGTGCCTTTAGGTTTGGGTCTTTGCCTGGTGGAGCTCACTCTAACATGTTTTACGAACAGAAGCGTCTGGCTTTCTGCTTTTGTACTGGCACTGTTACTTTACACATCAAATTTTTTTTCTGAACATTGGTTTGGTTCGGGTTCGGAAGTACATACAATGTACATTGAAAAGCATACTTTTACGTTTGCCGGATCACGCCGTAAGTCGGCTTTTATAAGTCGCCATTTCGCTCATCTAGTCGGCTTGTCACTCTCAGTCCCCTACAAAAGCACAACGTAATAATTGGCATTTAGAAAAATCAACCATTGGCATCAACTTTCTGTACGGTTGCGGTCACAAAATGCATGAACATGTGCCACCACAGCACGTGTTATCAAAAAGGGGTTTCCCAATTCATGCAATACCGCACGGTGAGCAATACCAGTAACCCCTCTAGCCTGCACGCATGCGCTCTGTCTATTTTGGGGGTCGTCTTTCTGAACGATCACGATGCAGTGATTTTACTTACACGCGCAACGTGCATGCATTATTTACACATGGTGTCCACTATAGCAATGCTACGGTACGTGTACTGTGTTTAATAGCTCCATGGTTGTACGGATTATGCACATGGAAGACGGACAATCGTGGAGCTTAGCCCACCAAACAATGAAGATGAATGCAGTGACTTGTTAACACAGTAAATTCAATCATCTGTGCCCTTTAATTTTGCCCTCTCATTGCAAGCATTAGTATTTCTAGCGCTATGAAGAAAAAAAACTTGCCGAACTTCCGAACCGACCTTTTTGGTTCGGTTCGGAAGGCCACGACAGCCACTCAGAGAATGCTGTGCTGATAGAAAAGAGCTAATTTATGCAGGACATTGACTGAAATATATATCTTCATTAACCCTCCTAAAGATGGAAACATACATCTTGTGCCAAGTTGTCCTTCAGTCAAAATCAATCAAGTGACTGTTTTCGACAGTTGGGGGCTCCCAGCCTACATAAAGTAGAATTGACTGGCTGTGACTGTTTATGTAAACTTGATACAGCTATGCTTTGACTGTAGGTGATTGATAAACATAGGCACTTGTCTGCTTTTGTCTGTTGATTGAATTTGACTAGTCACACAGTGCTTGTTTGAAACATGATCTGATTGTCAGTGAGTAGCCTGTGTAAAAGGCATGGCAGGGGAAGAAGATTGATTTCTTTGACTGTCTGTGACTGTTCAGATAGCAGGAGGGTAAAATTAAATCAAATTAATGCAAAGTATAAGCAGGGGTTTAATTCAATTTTATGTGGTCTTTAAGTCAATATAATGTTTACATTATTCAAAATAAAGAAACCCTTTACAAATCTCCCCCCAATACTGACAAGAAATTGCCCTTCTTGCAACATTCCCAGCCCAGGAAAAACAAATGTATTACATGCACAGGGTAGCAAGTAAAAAAATGTCACATGGCATGTGGAATGCTGTCCAAAATTTTCATGAGTGATTTTTTCACTGTTTGGCTTAAAACAGGGTTTGTTTGAATTTGCAGGTCCAGAAGACTTCAAAATCTTGCCAAGGGGCTTTCCCCTGCCTATTTACGCTTGGGGGGTAGCAGGGCAAATTTTGCCACCTTCAAGGAAACTGCCCTCGATATAGAGGGGCACAAAGGCTTCAAAAACTTCACCTTCACAGGTATGGACTAATGTCTGTCACATCAAACTGTGTGTTGATTGGACTGTCTAAAGGTGAGGCCAAAAAAAAGATAGTTCTGCTTCCGATTACATGGCATTCAAAAATAGGGTACGGGTAGGTAGGTGGGGATTTTTTTTTTTTTTTGCCAATTTTTATTTGTGTACGATCATGTAGAGGCGTCTGTGTGTAGTCAAGGGTAAAAGGTAGTAATTGATGGTTTTGGGTATTTTCTTCTCATTTTTCCCTTAAAAAAATAGGGTAGGGGCTGTCAGAATAGGGTAGGTATAGGGAAACCGAAAGCAGGACTATTCTCTTTTTTTTGGCCTAATATACAACATTTGCAAAACATCTCAAAACAAAACTACCGAATTATGTTAAGGAGAATACACAAGAAAGTGTGGATTTGTAATTTAAGAATTCACGAGGCGTGAAGCGCCGAGTGAATTTGTAAATTAAGAATCCACACTTGCGAGTGTATTCTTCGACTTAAACCATTGCGTCAAAAGAAGTATTGGCATTAACAGTGAGTGGAGATGAAAAGACTCGGGATAAATGTTGCAACCTGACGCCACTTCCGCGATTGTGTACAAAGTCTATGGAGAGTCAAGAATTTCAAGTATTTCCTAACAGTCAAGTATTTCCTAACAAAATTGGAAATATTTCTCAGTCCCAGATTCATGTCTTATCATTTTTGCAATGAATGCCCTTCATTGAGATGATATATGGAGAAAACAAGTGGCGTCAGGTTGCAACATTTGTCCCGGCTCCTTCCGTTGACAAATTGATAGTTCAGACGATGACTTCTTTCTGACTCGAAGTAGGTTTTGCAGTGACAGCGAAGAATCTGACAGGGAAGATGCATTGATAATTTCGGAAGGAAATTTTCACGCAGACGGTCTTATTAATGCTCATTATAGAGAACAATTGTCTGACATGTTCAAAGTGTGGATTCGTAATTCCGAATCCAAACTTTACTAAAGATTCGTCGTTCCGAATCCACACTTTGTGACCAGCGTAACAGATTCGTAGTTCCGAATCCACACTTTTAACAATAGTGTGACGTCATAGCAATGGTTTAATATGAAATACCTCACTTAACTGTAAGTGAATAATAGTCTCAAGCATCCTGTGAAATCATGGCACCATGGTGTGCTGTCATTTGCAAGGAAAGTGACATTTTTGTATCAATTTCCAACGATGGTTGGCCGACCAATCGTTTACTTTTTTTTCAAAATACTGCCCCCATTTTACCAAGTTTAGTTAGTGCAAAAATTGTTTGCAATTGGTTACACATCCGTGAATTGGTACAAGCCAGCTAGTCTGGTTCCCTGACCCAACAATTTCCAGATGTCTATAAATTGCTTGAACACAAAACTTTAAACAAGTCGGTGTAACAATATTGCTATAAAATATTAACTCCCAAATCCATCCATTTCTGAAAATTACAGCAAAAGCAAATGTTGTACATGTTTGTATATACATTACCTCTAAACTGATAAATATTCTTTTAAAACAAAAGGAATGAAAAACCAAATTCCTCGAGAAATTGGTTTGTTGTTTGACAGGCAAGGACTGGGACAACATCAATGATTTCAGTCGCGAAGTGGGGTGGCGCTTCATCTTTGACGTGAATGAATTCCTGCGGAGAAACGGCCATTGGGACCCAAACAACTTGGAGAAGTTACTGGCTTATAACACCATGAAGAACTATACAGTGTGGGCATGGCAGATGGGAAACGGTAAGGCCTTTCACCTCCTCGATCTTTACTTGGTATTTTGACGAACTAAAAATATGCGAGAAGCAAAGGTTTGTGGAATAGAGTGGGGGAAAGGAGATGATATTTCTTGGAAAGATATTTCTTGGAAGAGGAAACAGCGAACATAGTGAACATTGTAGATTTGTACCGGTATTCCATGTTTATTTTTAGCAGATCTCTCTAATCCTAAAGAAGTAAAAAGAATTAGTTATAAACCTATACTCTTATAGGAATCTTATACGAATCTTTGAAGAATCTTAGAAGTATCTTAGAAGAATCTAGTATAATTCTTTATTGATAAATATATGTGCTTAAAATCAGTTTGGCAAATCCTAAATAAAGACTAATAATTGTCGAGCCTTAAGCAAGCAAGGGGAGTGTGTGGCCTAGTGGTTAGGGTTAGTGACTCCGGGGTTGGAATCCAGCTGCTGGTCATATATTGTGTCCTTGGTTCTTGGGTTCTTGGTTCTTGGTTCTTGGTTCTTGGTTCTTGGTTGGTTCTTCTCCTAAATACTCCACGTGGGAGTTTATACAGGAGGCCAGAAGCACCGGGGCAAACCCCTTCTCTTAGCGATAAGTGTTTACTGGGTTCTTTTACATGCATTTATACAACACATGGGACCTACGGCTTAACGTCCCATCCGAAGGACGAAGCAATAATGGTTAAGTGCCTTGCTTAAGAGCACAAGTGTCCGCCGGCGGGCTCGAACCCACGTCACTGTTGCCTCTGAAACACCAGAACGTGAGTCCGGTGTTCTTAACCGCTAGGCCATCACACTCCTTGGGCAAGCCACTTCACCCACTCCACCCCCACTTGCTCCTCTCCCCCCAGGAGTATGAATGGGTACCGGCATTAGCTGGGGAGTAACCTGCGATGGACTAGCATCCCATCCAGGGGGAGTAGAAATATTCTCAGTCGTTTCATGCTACTGAACCCAGAGATAAACGCCGGTCTGATGAGCCACACTGGCTCATGACAGACTTTTCTTACTTTTACCAAAGCAAGCTCATTATAAAATTCTTAAAACACGATTTTAAATTGTGAACAAATACAATTTCAGACTGGGCTTTACCAACTGCTTTACGTGAAGATACCCGATGGTGCAAAATCAAACACACATTTTTTTCACTTCACAAAGCTACATTGTGGAATATTTATCAAGGATGGTTCATATTCCATGTGAATGCAAAGAAAATCAAAAGGCAAAAAAAAATTTAAAAAAATTGGTTACAGCAAGTTCAACTTTTTCCAATTGACAGTGCAGTAACTTGATGTGATGTAACAATTTTTCATTTGCTTTCCCACTGGGTATTAAAAGGTCCATTGGTACACAAGTAATCTTATGGACTGTTACTCAATATAGAAATTAGAGACAAAAACTTATCAAGGCACTTCACCGAATCCGTCAGCACAAATTTAAAATCGAAATCTAAATTGAAAGCAAAAAAAGGGAATGACGAGGTTACTCACCTGTGTTGCAGAACCCAATGCATATAAACACTCGGAAGGAGTGACCATGACAGCAACTCAAGTGGCTAAAGACTTCATCAAGTTCAGAGCCCTCCTTAACGCCAGAAAGCAGTATAGAGACAGCCTTGTTATCGGCCCAGATGTCACAGAGCCACGTCACCTGCTTGGAATGTCCTCAGTCAAGTTCTTGCAGACGTAAGTGGCACATCTGCTTATACTTGAATTAGTCCAAAATATCTCCCAGTGGGATGTATAGTCTTGCGTCACATTCATTAACCCTAACCCTCCTCACTCCTTCAAAATCCTCATGGCGGTTTTGGAGGATTTGGAGGATTGAGGATGAATAGTGTATAGCACTTGAGGATTTTGGAGGATTGAGGATGAATGGTGTTTGAAGAAAAGGAGGATTTTGGAGGATTGAGGATGAATGCATTTTGAGAGGCAGGACTGTCTGACGATTTTGAAGGATTGAGGTACTGGGTATCCTTCATTTGAACATAAGTGGAGGATTTTGGAGGATTGAGGATTGTTTCTAGCAACAAAAAAAGCCTATGGGGTTAGGGTTAAGGCTTGTCTTGCTTATTGGTGACACAGCTATCTAACATGTTGCACTTTAAAAAAATATTTTCTCACGAATGAATGACCTGGTATTTGCCTTACATTGCACCATGGAGCTATAGCTCCATGATTGCATGTACTCACGTGCGTAGCATCTTCTTGTAGAACCAGTCTACTCCCGCTATAGACTGGTTCCTGGTCCACCACTCGGCCCTGAACGAGTGAACGTCACAAGTGGGCATTAGCCAATGTGATAATGGAGATAGGGAACCAACCTCTTATTCGCATGCACGCGTGCTCACACAACGCAAAACTTGTCCAGTACTATCCTGCGCTTAACTGTGTTTAATAGCTGGCCTCAGCCTTGGCCTCAGACTCTGAGGTTGTGGCCTTGGCTTTGGCCTTGGCCTTGGCCTTGGCCTAGGCGTCGGAGGTTGTGGCCTTGACTAGAACACTGCTTATAAGGAATGTAAATTCAGCAATTGTTAGGTCCTGAAGTTGCTCAATAACCCTTACCCTACTTGACCCTCCAACGCATGCCAGTTGTGCCTCAAGAAAATCTCCTATGTTTTTTGCATGGCCCTCCAATATCTGCCATGTCATTTCAAGGGTAACTGGACAGGCACTCCAATACATGCCACATAGAACAATGAGAGTCCTCTGATAACAAAGTGAGTGCCCCCAGCTGGTCAGTATCAGGCACCCTCCAGGGCCTCCAACTCCTGCCAATTGGAGCCTTCACTGTTAAGACTTGTTATCTGCCAAATAACTGCAGCTGGAGGGCATTGGCATAACCAACTGACATGCAGTAAACTACCCTCAGAGAGTAAGGGTTAAAGGTATTCTGATTCAGGCCTGAACAACAATTTGGGATCTTTCCATCTTGTATGGACATAAACTGGGCTTCTTAAATGATCCTAAAACATGAAGCCTGAACCGGAGACAGCTGAGGTGCCAGGAAAAAAACAACAAAGATTACCATTCATGTTCACAGATTCCTGTCCAAATGTGGGGACTGCACCAACGTGACCACCTTTCACAGCTACTACCTTAGAACATCCACAGCCAAGCTAGATGACTTTATCAACCCTGCCACCCTGGATGTCCTCAGAGCCGAGATCAAAGCCATCAGGGAGGTTGTCCAGAAGTATCGTTCTTCGGCACAGGCGAGGATCTGGCTGTCCGAAACGGGGGACTCTGTTCCCGGCGGCGTATCTGGGATCTCGGATCGATATGTTGGTGGCTTCCCGTAAGTAAGGCTCAGAGGAATGCCCCCCCCCCCTCCCCCAACTTGTGGAAAGTATTGGTATTTTCATATTTGTTTTGTTTTTAAACAAAATGGGGCCCCAGCCCCATCCCATAGAAGAGATTGCAAGATTCCAAGATAGTATATTTAAAAATTGTTGACAGCTGTGATGTGGGATATGACATTTTGAACACCCGAGGGGCGCATAGCACCTGAGGGCGAAGCCAAGGTGATATTTCCCCCCCCCCCCTCCCCCGGTGTTCAAAACATCATATCTCACATCACAGCTGTGAACCATTGTTTTGTTATACCTCTGTCTTGGATTCTTGGATTTTGAATTAAAAATCACGAAAACAATCAGACGTAAACACAACAATCATGACAGTCGAACGTCAACTCACGTGCATGTCACGTGCTCGAAACAGCTGATTGTCTACTAGTTCGTTGCTCCCACTCAGGTATGGAAACATGGTGAAAATTGCGTGAGTACCAACGATACAAGCGTTTCACACCGTACGTACCATACTCCCTGTGGGATGTCACCATAGAGCTATATTAAATTACTGGAGCACTAACTTCGTGTACAAAGTAATGCCTGCTGGGGGCATCCATGTTTGTGCATAAACCTATGGAAACCTAGAAATTGTGTACGGCTTTTGTACGGCTATTTGCATATCTGCGTTTGTATTCCATTCCGGTGTGTTATGAAAGCCAATACGCTCAAAACAGAAACGCACGATCAGCAAATGAGCGTGTCATTTTGCTCTACGCAAACAGCGCAATGCGTGCGCGTATTCACTGCAGATGCTTTTTGCCGTCACGTTTATTGGAACCGTCAATGACGCGCTTAAGTTGTTTGCGTATGCTCTACTTGTGCGTTGCATGTAGAGTACACTTTCAAAATTCAATCCATCTAATTTCATTATGTTCTACAAACACGCACATGAATTCAAAATGTCTACGCCCTAGACGGCTTCAAAGCATCTCCGCGTGCAGAATGACTAGTTAGCGCTCTAGTAATTTAATATAGCTCTATGGTGATATCCCACAGGGAGTGTGCCATGTCTTTTATACACCTAACACTTGATCGTTCTAGGCCATTGAAAAATACAGTTTTCGAGACAGAGTTATAACAAAAGTGATTATTATTATTATGAGTAGCATTAACCATTGTTATATCGTGTGCTTGGATACTGTAATTTCATTGGTCCATGACGGCAACGTGTCTGGACAAGAATAATGCATGTCACACACTGAGGGTGATATCGCACTGCATTCATTGCGCATGTTGCTGCCGACCCGCTAGCTTTGCGCAATGAGAACTGCAAAGTCAAACGCTCAGTCTCATGTCCAGCAGGACATCAAAACCTTCAGTTAACGAAGGTTATATCGTAGTGATTTAATTTATTTCTCACAGAGTAAGTGACAACCATTTATCTTTCTGAGTTATTGGCACGGTATATAACAAAACAATTGTTGACTGCTGTGATGTGGGATATGCCGTTTTTAACCCCCTCGGGGTGCATAACTTCCCCTGGGGTGTAAAAACGTCATAATCACATCACAGCAGTCAACAATTGTTAATTGTCGATTTCAGTCGATGTCACAATCATAGTCGCTTTCCGTGATCAGATATATCAGCAACTGACTGTATTGTGTTAACGTTTGTGTTGTATCCAGATTTCTGGATAAGCTTGGGGTGACTGCTCAGGAGGGCCTTGAAGTTGTCATAAAACAGCAGTTTATTGGCAGATTCGTCGGTCTTGTGAATGAATCCAACATTGAGCCCAGACCTGTAAGTCAAAGTTGATGGTATACATGGGGGCAGCAAACAAAACATAGTAAATCGTGACATAATAAACAGGACTCGTTTATACTACGGTATCGGGAGTCCTGTTTATTACGTCACGATTTACTATGTTTTGTTTGCTGCCCCCAACGACGACTTTTACACAAATTGCACGTTCGGGTCGAAACAAGACCTGAAAAACAGCTCTCAAAAGTACCTTTTGTACTCATTTCATGAGAGACACAATAGTCGTTTTTATTTCATCACACCTTAGGCTACATATATCCGAAAAATGACGGAAATGTCTTCGAGCATTCAACAACCTCTTTAATTGTTTGGGAGGGATTAGTTCAATATATATTCTGGTCCTGTGATATTTGCTGATATTTGCTGAACATCCTTTTTGCATTCAAAGGTTCCAAGTACAGCTTTTTGGAAGGAGCTAGTTCAGTGCCCATTCAAAACATGCCTGTTTGGAATGGGCAAATTGCTTGACTTACGGTAGACCAGCAAACGCGGCGGTACAGAGCACAGTGCTCATATAAAAGCGCCATATCTACTCCTCACCGTTGTGCAATCGTGCCCTACAATAAATGGTCGAGGCCCACCTCACCATTGCGCGATCTTCCCGCTTCAAGAAATGATCAAGCCCATAAAGCCAACCACCATTTGCACATGTGTTAACTTGTTAATCCGGAGCGGTATAGAGTGCAGTGCCCGATCAAAATGTGCAGCAGTGCATTGCGCGGTCTGTATATACACGTTTGTATGGTGAAGGCCTCCAAAATTGCTGCTTTTTTTTGTAGCTTCTTTGCAAACTGCTCATCCAAACAGCCTCAAACTTGCTGAGCAATACACCTGCTAATTTTCAACTTCATACTGTGCCCAATTCTGGAGACAATCGAAATGCAGACAGACACACAGAGATTCCTGGAATTATAGTCAGATAGTCAGTGGCATGTTTCATTGTAATGATATTGTAGTGATGTGTGTTTTCTCCCGATATGAGTTCTACCACTGTTTATGCAGCCTCGTGTCTGCTCTTGAATATCGTTAAAAAAAATGGATACAAGATGTTGGTTGTTCACAAGTTTTAATGCTCTCAAAACTCACAAGTTCGTCATGCACCTGCTCTCCAATGATTAACAAACTTCTGGAACGTCAGTAGGTTTAAGCACACATCAATTGACTGAAGAAAACTTTTGAAGGAACTTTCAACGTTGGAATAAAACTTGCACAAAGCAGAATGAAAATGATAAGTGAGAGGTCACATACATGTCACACTGCGCAAACGCATCACAGCGAGAGTAAACTCTGGTGCCTGTGGCAACCAAAACTTATTAACATACTTGTTTGTATGGAACGCCTAGTGGAGCTGAAAGTACAAACAATTAATTATATTAATTAATTATATAGAGACTGAAGTTTTATTGGCTAGGACATAACATTTCTGTTTTCGTCTTGTCTGTGTCAGGCATACTGGGTGGCATATCTTCACAAGCAACTCATTGGACGGCGAGTACTAAATGTGACTACCAACCAACAAGGGGCAGATAACCTGCGCATTTATGCGCACTGCACTCAAACAAGGTGTGAATATGTTCCCCTTTAGCTAGTCATAGCATAGAAATCCCAGATAATAAGCATGCAACCAATATAACAGCATTCACAGGATTTTTGTTACTGAAAACTCAAAGGCGCTAGCTTTAGAAAAAAATACGTTTAGCTGTTTTGACCTAGCTGCTTAAAAGTACAGTCCATCATTTGCAGCTATCCAAAAAGTAAGTGAAGTATTTATCATTGAAAAGCTTACTTGACTTAAAGATAGTAATGGGACTAAACTCCCTGTGAAATTATTCTTTCTGGCAAGCTGTCATTTTGAAGAAAGAAGGTCTTTCAAACGATGCAGCAGTGTTGAAAATGTCCATTAACTGCAAAATACTTATTTCTATCTCAGAAATTTGAGGTACCACTCCGGAGATGTAACCGTCATTGCACTGAATCTGGACAAAACAAAAGCCATGCAACTTCACTTACAAGGCAGTCTGGCTGGCAAGAACATTGATGAGTACTTACTGACACCGAGTGGGGATGAAGGTCTACAATCAAGGTACTTCATGGTCTGGCGATCAGACTATTTGGCACACTTTAGAGGTTCATGTGATCATTTCAATGAAGGGCTTGAGCGCAGGAGTACTGCAACTGTACTTTCAATAGCATAGTTGAGGATGGAGCACAAATGTTGTGAGTACAGAACATGTGGGCCATCAGCCTGGGGGTTTGGTCGGTATCAAATCAGGGCATAGATGATTATAGTGAGCATGCACAAGGTATACCGTCCCTAGAATGGTAACAAGCATTTTGATGGACATTTTGAGAAAAAGGGTGATAACACCCAAACAGCTGCCACCGCTGCAATGCTATCACATATTTTCCATCTCCGGAGGTGTATACCTTTCCAAAAATCGTTATGACGTTTTTTCCCCTCATTTGATACCGGTGGCCAAAATTTTGGACCGAGGCTGATGGCCTAATGCCAAATGAGGTGTGTGATGCTGTGGACATGGTTGAGTATCAACGAAAACTACTCATGAAAGTCTGTAAAAGGCCTACTTTAATCCTGTTTTTGTCCTCTAAAGTCCTACTTTTGTCCCGATTTTGTTAAATTTTTGCTCCTACTGTTCTTATTTTTATCACCCGGGTCTGCTTGAAAGCCTGCAATTGTTAAAAAAAAACTTACCAAATCATTGGCAGACATATCTTGGCCTTGAAATAAGTTTGGAAAATTTAGGTTTGTACTAAATGTATATAACTTGTAAGAAAAATGTTGTGTTGGCATTGAAACAGTAAGAAAGGTCATTTGAAATTTATTTGTCTTGTACAATAAGAACACGGGCCGAAAGTTGCATCCATGAAAAAGGCTACCAAGTAGAGGGCAGAGAAAGAGCAGCACAGTAAACATCTAAGAAGTTAACCAAACAGTCCTTTTTCGGGCCTACCAGTGCTTCCAAAAGGTCATTAAAATGACCATTTATTCCAAAAAAATGAGAAATAAAAAAGAACCAAATAAAGAAAGAAAGATTAAAAAACATTAAAGAAAGCAAAACTACCCTCACCCCAAATCCATTACATGCATGACAAATGACAATTGAGACAGTGAAAAGATTGAAAAGTTGACACTTATTTTGAATTGACCATAACTCAGTAACTATTTACCCAATTGGAAATATTTGTTTGTTGTTGAAAAGCTAATGAACTATACTCTCAAATGTGTATCCATATTTGCGATGTATTTTTTTAAAAGCTGTGAAAATGTTGTTTATTTTTTTAACACCCTTGATTTGTGAAAGTTGTATTTAATCAAAGGTCACAAATCAGTGATTACTATTATTCTTATTAATCATTTCTGGCAATGAAACCAAGGATTCCTCAAAAGCGCCTTAGGTACTGTAGCTCGCAAGCCTGAAGAAACCTGTGGAGAGAAGACAATGAGAAGAAATTAAAGTTTTAGAGGTGGGAGGAAAAGCCCAGAAGAATATTCTGGGGAAAACCCACGGAATCAGGTAGGGACTGAAAACCCAATGCACATATTGACCCAGGCGGAATTCGAACCCGGGTCACAGCGGTAGATGGTGGGGAAAGTACCGCTACGCCAACCTGACTCCCCTACCGCTACGCCAACCTGACTCCCCCCTTGTATTGGTTTCTCTGTAGATATGTCTACTTGAATGGCATCAAGCTTGAGATGACAAGTGATTTTCACCTCCCTGTGTTGAGGCCACATCCGCTCCTGAATCCCGCTAAAATCACGCTTCCACCTCTTAGCTATGGTTACTATGTTATACTGAAGCCTTCTGTCCAAGTCTGTATGTGAGCACAGTAGGCAGATAGAATGTAAGAGTCAGTTTACCTGACTACAGCTCATACATATTTATAAGCCAGAGCACTTCTTTCATTGGTTTAATAGTGAGATAAAGCAATGTGGTTGGGTATGGACGAATCCAGGCACATGATCACTGTACACTCACCAGGCCCCCTTCAATGGAGAAACCATTGTCCACGGTACTGTACAAAGTAGCTGCCCCGTGACAGATTATTTTAACTATAGCACAATGTTTTTGCCATTGATCTATGAAGGGGGCCTTTATGATAGAATTGATAGCGTGCCTGGATTGGTCAATACTTTGTGTAAAGGCATATTACCCTATGCAATATTCAACAATTGTTGACTGCTGTGATGTGGGATATGATGTTTTTAACACCAGAGGGGTGCAAAGCACCAGAGGCGAAGGGTGCTTTGCGCCCCAGGGGTTAAAAACGGCATTTATATCCACATCACCAGTGAAACTGGTGTAATGTTCATGTACATATTAATTGAACACCAATTTGCAATATTTAACACTTGTTGACTGCTGTGATGCGGGATGTGATGTTTTTAACACCTGAGGGGTGCAAAGCACCCGAGGCGAAGGGGGCTATGCGCCCTGAGGGGGTTAAAAACGGCATATATCCCACATCACTGCAGTTAAAAATTGTTTTGTTATATCGTGCCAATAACTCAAAAAGATAAATGGTTGTAACTTACCGAGTGAAAAAATAAATTAAATCACTGCGATGTAGCCTTTGATAACTGAAGGCTTTGGTATCCTGCCGGACATGAGACTGAGCTTTTGATATGCAACACCCGCAATGAATGCAAGGAACATAATTTGAAGTCAGTACATGAGCTTCTGTTCCAACCATGATGGTATCAGGCCTTTTTTAAGCACAGCAATATTTTCATTACCCTTTGGTGTCCATTATTGAAATCCAACAAGGGACATCAAGTGGCTTTGGTCTCCAGTCCACAGTTGACTTTGTCTTGGTCTAGGCGTTTGACAATAAGAGTCCGATGATTGATGGTAGGCCGCGAACAATGCACCAAGTGACACGTACTATGCAAAGTGTGAACAGCGACCTCACACGGCTAGGCTCTACAGCGTGTGTCAATAAAAACGCAGGATTCAAAGCGATTTTTTTTCTGAGAAAATTATGCTACTGGTGTGCCTAATTTGGTAAGGATTTGATTGTCCATAATTTCATCTTTGACAAGATTTTTGTTTGGTGGAATTTGGACTTTTGAAGACAATGAAGACAATTAAACCAGAACAAAACTTTCTTTGAAACAACTGATGATAAGTATCATTGTTTCAAAGCATCATGAATGTCGTCTCTGACATATCAAATAACATTGATTGTGGACTAAAGGATTATGTAAGCCTAATCCTGCCACACATGTCCTTCTTTGTGATCCACAAATACTTTCACCTGTACTGAATTCAAACGTTTCATTAGGTATGTGTGATTTCACAAATCAGACCAGCTTGGAATTTATAACCCTTCTTTAATGTACTCTATCTCTGGACAGGATTGTCCAAATGAGATGGGATAAAAAGCATAGTGAAGAGAAGGAAAGGTACTTTGAAAAGAGGGTTAACATTATGATGAATAGGGGTGGTTTATATTCTTAATATTTTTGTTTCTAATCCTGCGTTTTTATTGACACACGCTGTATATATGCAAATCAGGTGGGGCTATATGAACGCCTTGGAACAACCATGGCAATCTTTTTCGGGCAATTTTCATTGTTTTCTCGCTGGATTTATATTGAGTCGTATTTGGTCTGTGGACTCAAAACTATTTGGAGAATGTGGCCACACTCTCCAGCTGTATGTCCTCCATGACCAAAAATAACATATGAGCCTTCACAACAAAGCACTGAATAATAATCTCATCTTTATTCGCATACGGGGTCGTCGCTGAAAATCCAGCTACAAAATAAGGAAAAACATAAGCCAAAGCCCACGGATGTTCCAAGGCGTTTATTCAGCACCACCTGATTTGCATATTGTAGCTGAACTGTGTGAGGTCACTTTTTGTGCTTCATACCATAGAGCAAGGACCCAAGGAGTCAGAACTCTTGGGCGATTTACATTTTGACCATTAACATACCAATCCCTCGGGAATGTCTATAGCTACAGCACTGTGACCGCAAGCCTCGACCATTCAAAGCGTGAATGCCAGCGGCCTTTGAACACGATGATCGTCGCCGCCTTTTTAGTTGGTAACCAACAACCTCCCTATATGCTGCATAATAAGTCATGTCACGTCGCTGCTCTTTTTTGAAAAATATATTTTACAACAAGATAGGTTTTTACAACTGCGCAGTTGTTAGATGTGAGTTATGAACTCAAGTTAGCAATGTGCAGTTGTTGGTGCTTAAAAGCGTTATCTGTCCCTGTAATTTGGAGATAAATTGGATTTCTTTCAGATAAGTTTTCATGTATTTTCAGACATTTTAATTGGCAATATATCATTGATGAAATGTGTTTTTTTGGAAAATTTCACAAGTTTTCACACTAAAGGTACAGAACATTTTGTTCTTCATGAAATGATTGTTCCAGTGATGTTGACCACATTTATATACAGTATCATCCAACTGCGAACAAACACTTCAAAATCATTCATTTTTAGCGATGTATGACAACTGCGCATGCGTATTTACCATGGTACTGGTACTGTCTACGAAGCCATGCAAACTCCTTTTTCTGGCATTAGTGAGCGCGGATCTCTATTGTGTCGAGATTAGCGTAGTGAGCAACTGAGCAAGCTGGCGCCAGGTGCTTTCTATTGTAGCTTTCGAGCGCGGCGACCATCATTTTACTTTTGAAGTCTTGGAGTACGAACTCCTTGGGTCCTTGCTCTATGTTCATACAAAACGTGCATGTGAGTTCATAGCGCGCAGCTGCTGTGTATGTTAGTGGCCGGCCATTGATCATCAGACACTAATGCGATGCCGAACGCCTTGTCCAAGGCTACAGTTGACTGAGTGCCTCTTGGATGAAATCTCTAGACTCTTCATATGTATCAAATTGACGTACTGACATGTATATATGTTTTTAATCCATAACACTTTCATTTCTTTCACTCGGAAAAAAATTATAATTTTGCTGATGTTTGTGGTGTGCAGTTTTCCAACTCAAATTGGCAGATGTTATTTATAAATTTTATATCAATATTTTGTTTTTTATATTAGAGGGTAATGAACTTGCATAGAATATTTTGATAAACATTAATGGAAATGACATGTATATTGGCAATATTTAGTACCAAAGTATAAATGGCTTGTTTTTCTGAATACAAATATTAATTATATATTGATAATTTTATTAATATATTAAAAGTTTAGTCCATCATTTGTAATTTGTGCATTTTGTTCGTTTGAAGCAACAAACGTGCTCAAAATCTAAAGAATGTTGCTGAACAACTAACCTGTTTGAAGTTTCAGTTCAGCTTTAGCTGTATATTTCGAGAAAAACAGCATTCTAGGATCTCGATTTCAAATCAAAAGTTGCTGAATCATGTTTTGAATTGGGCCTGAATTCAACGTCTTAAGACGCACCGTAGGAAATATCCGTTAGTAGTTCGTTTTTTTTATTTGGCGAACGACGACACGACGCACACGCGCGCACGGTTGCTATAATTCGTCGGATCATTGCGCGACATCGTGTAGCTGCAATCGGCTCAGTGAGAAGGTGTCTCGGACGCTGAATTCAGGCCCAATTCAAAACATGATTCAGCAACTTTTGATTTGAAATCGAGATCCTAGAATGCTGTTTTTCTCGAAATATACAGCTAAAGCTGAGCTGAAACTTCAAACAGGTTAGTTGTTCAGCAACATTCTTTAGAGTTTGAGCACGTTTGTTGCTTCAAACGAACAAAATGCACAAATTACAAATGATGGACTAAACTTTTAATATATTAATAAAATTATCAATATATATAATCCACCTTGGTATGCTATACTTCTGAAAGCACTCTCTTATCAGAGCAGGCTTTGACTATGTTTGAGGGAGTGCATCAGTCCAGCTTTGGGCTTTGGACCTGGCAAGCGATTTTGCTTGGGAGTTTGCCTCTGGTGGTCGCAGTGGGGGGGGGGGGTGTTGCAGAAGTAGCTATAGCACCTCAAGGGCCAATGAACAGCCCTGGCGGTGCCCTTTAGTTTGGGGCATGGGTAAGACACCTCAAAGAACTGAGACAAGGCCTCCTGTCTTGCCTTGAGTTGGCTGGCGGCTGATTCAACTGTGCCTGGATAATGCTCTCTCTGTCATTGAACACTGTTTTTGACTCTCAGGTCTTGGCAATAGGGGATGGGGAGAGCTCTCCCATGATGGCACATTGTCCTGCAGATCGCTAACGAGATCCTTTGTGCCCTTGAATGTATACACATCTCCCCCTGCAGGGAGTGATTTTCTGTTAATGACGGTGTCCTTGTCTTTAAGGTAGAGACTCTGATAATGCTTTCTGTACCTTCCTCACAAGCTTCATATGGTAGAAGGAGAACTCTTTGATCTGCTCACCTCCATCCTGATTCCTCCCATAGAAGTCTTGCCCATGCCAGATGCATTTCGTGACAGGTGTAGGCCTTGTTGTTACATTGAATGATCTTTTCTGGGCTGCTCCTTTCTAAAGCAGGGGAATCTCATCATTAGCTGGCTTTGTCAGATTGTTGAGAACCCGGTGTAATCCTGTGACGGGGAGGTTCACTCGCTCTAGCATGCACATCAAGGTTTTGCCATTGAGTGGCATGCCAGACAATTCCAGTCCTTGGTGGCTGTTCACCAATCTTTTTCCTCCTCTGGGCTCTTCCTTTCCCCATCCTCTACAAGTCCTCACTCAGGCTATTAACATGTCCTTCCTAAAATCTATTATGTAGCTATTGCTAAAAACAAAAACAGACCAGAGAGTTTCAGTGTAGTTCTTTCCTGAAGGGGATGTGTCCCAGTCCCAGCAGTGGTCAAGGTACCCCGATCACTGCCAAAGGGCATTGCTTAGCAATGGTCTGGGCTGTTGAATTACAGTGCACAATTGCCTGTTTACAGATACAGGACATTTCTCCGACCTGCTTAAATGAATAGATGGTTTTTAATCATGTTGAATCGAATTGGTTTGATGGTGGAATTATTATTCTGTGTACAGACTTCGTCTCAGAGCCAACTTTCCTTAGCATGTAGCCATGTACACCAGACCATTTACATGTACATGTGGTTGGTTCCTCACTACATTGTACAAATGAAGAAGTCTTCCCAACATGACCTTCTCACGATGACAAAAGGAGCTGGTTTTGACCTTCTGTTTTTGGCAATATTCTTCTACCTTAGCTTTCACGTTCTGATAAACTTGTTGGAGCTGTCATTTGAGGTGCTCGATGGAGACAGGAAGCTCCGTGTTGCGTCCTTCGTCATCTGTTGGAACATCTGGTAGTGTAGTTGCATCAGCTTCTTTGCCTGACACATTTCTTCAATATTGACCTTCGTCTCTGTAACAGCGTTTTGAAGCTCATGCATCAAAGGCTGCATAGGGGCTTATTGCCGCCTGCCACTGTCATATAGACTCGTCATAAATTACATTGTCAACATCAGATCTTTGTTTTTCCCCAGTGACTTCTGATGACCCCATTTGCCACTGCATCTCTTTGATTCATCGCAGGAATGCGTCAGAGGATATTACATATTTGACTGCAGGTATTGGGAGTGGGGCACTACTTCCTTTTCCAGAAACCATCCAGGTCTGCAATGGCTTTCTCTGCCGTCATAGTTCCTCCTCGACTCGGACTCTTGGGAATGACATCTCAGCCTCAACCTCTGATCTCATTTTTTGGCTGTGACCCCTTAGCCTCAAGACGATATTGCATATTATTCTGGGGCCAAATCTTCCACCTTCAAAATGTGCTAGTCAGATGAGCCTGTGAAGATTTGGACGCACTTCAGCAGATAATCTGTATATATATATATGTAACAGGGGAAATGGCGGCTGCGCACTCTGACTGATTGCAGGATTGCCTGTTGATGTACACCTAGAAATGGACTGCTCTGATACTGATGTTTGACTGATGGAGCCAACTGGTTGCCTTTCAACCATGGGGCATCACTGTAGAAGATGGTTTGGTCTTCACCACTGGTTAAGCATCTGCAGTGGGTCACCGAGAAAA